TTTAATAATTTTTTTGTAATTATTAAATAGATGTCTTTATAAAATATATAAAAGGTTATTAAAAATATAAATAAGAAGATATACCAAAAAAACTCTTTAAGTAAGCCTTACGCGTGATTTTGCTCAAAGTCGATGTCACAACTCAACTATAGCACAATATTTGCGTTGAATTCCACGGTTACTTTGTTTTTTTGTCCTATCTCGTTCCCACTTCCCAGTTTCGCCAATTAAATTTAGTTAGAACAATGAATGGCATCAATTCTTTTGACGATGCACTTCTCTCTAATTTCATTCACTCATAGACGAATTCTTTTTCATCATCATGTTTCTTTCTATATCTCTTATAAAGATCCCATTTGCACTATTTAACGCACCACTATATCCCATCCTTCTTTTGCTTTTTGGAAGGCAAGAACATGAGAGGTGGCTGATTCATGATGCTTGTGGCTTGCTGGTTTTGCTGATGAAGCAACTTGGTGCTGGTTGACTGGGCTTGTAGGCTATGGTTGCTACGCGAGAGAGATAGGCCTCGGTTAATTTGATGAAAGGTAGCATGGTGGAGCAACAAATGATATAGAAAGATATGAAATAAGATTGGCAAAATTTAATTGGTAGGGGAAAATGATATAGAAAGATATGGCATAAGATTGTAGTCACATTATTTTGTGGGTATTATGGGAAAAACCATCACAAAATTGTTCATTACATTGAATAGATCACCAAAATCAAACAATAGAGTTAGGTTTCAGCTTGTTCAAAGATTAAATTATGTGTGATGGAACTTAAAAAATCTTTAAAAGTGAACCATAAAATAATATAATTGGATTGAAACATATTTATTGGCCTAGTTATAAGATATATCTCAACAAAATCACACAAAGCAAACTAATCAAGAGGCACCACACCCATGCTACATATATATCACTTAGTTTTAAGAAAAAGGTATGTTAATATTTTTAAAATACATTAAAAATATATGTTGCTAACATACTCTAATAAAAAAAATTAAGTTAGTATGTATTAGCACTTATAATTACTATCTTTTAGAAATAAATATTAATAAGCGATAATTATATATTTTAAAAAAAGATATCAAAAGTATAACTTCTAAAAATACTTTTTTATTTTATGTTAGAGACCCTAAAATATCAAGTTCAAAAAGTTTAAGACTAATTTTGATTTGCAATTCATAACTGCTACTAATTAAAAAAAAAATTACAGAGAGATTCAAACATAGGAACTAAAATACTCTTACTCCATATATATATATAATTAAAACTTATTTTTATCATTCCGATAAATCTCCCTATCACTACATAAAACTAAATCTTAATAGGAAGCCGTCTCCATCATGAACAAGTTTTCCTAACACATTTCTACTCATTGAAATGCTGAGTCGCTGAGATAAGATAACTTCGAAGTTGTGAATAACATTACTTGAAGTTGGTCAGTTGGAGAAGGAGTCTTAAGCAATCAGTGAGGATTGGGGTCCGCTGCAGCCATTTCTAGATACATATATGTTAGACAACTATTCAATTATCAATTAAATATAACAAGTCCAGAAGTATACACTATAGTTTCCATGATAATAATAATAATAATAAATTATTATTTCTAACTTAATTGTTAGTAATTGTATCTTCAACAATTTATATAGTTGTTCCAAACGAATTAATATTTGCCATTTTGACCCAACGGAAGAGTGGCAACACCGAGAAAGACATAATGCAAGTGGTTCAGCCTGTCTAAGGATGTGTTTGGAATGATTTTCAGTTGAGTTTGTTTATTTTAATTTATAGCAAGAAACATTGTTTTCTTGCTATGAAAACAAAAAATCCTTGCAATCTAATATTTTATGATAGATTAAAATACTCTTTGTTATTAAATACATAAATCAACTAATAAAGAATTCTTACAACTTACCATATAATGTTGATTTTGAGTCCATAGAATAAATACTTGCATTTTTTTTTATCTTCATAGTCTAATTTGTATATTTGTATTTCACATATTTTTAATTACTTGTATTTTATTTTTTAAATTAGATCTTTTCCTTTAAATTTATATTAAATAATTAATAAAAATATAACAAAAGACCGGATATATCATTAATTTTTATACATTAACAAAGAAAGATGTATAACATATTTAAATAAATATTAAATATATTAAATGTACTGAAAATCAATTTTTAATTTTATATTATTATTTATTTATTTTATATTAGATAAAATTTTAAAATAAAAATTAATTAAAATAATTAAAAAATTACATATGACTAATTACAACTGATAAAGATAAAACTATACATGAACTAAAAAATGAATACTAAATATAATTATTATTGTTTGGTCCGTTACCTTGTCTTTTTGGTCAAGGGTCCACAATAAAAAAAAAGAAGCATTCTTTTGTTCCTTTCCTTTTTTGGGTTGATAACTTTGTCTCTCTTGTAGGGCTATATAAACACTTGGGACCTTCAAAATTAGTGAAAGCCCAAAACAAATGAAATGGATATGGGCTTCATGAACCGAAGCTCTGCTCTTTTAGTAGAAGCTTGTTGCGTGGGACACCTCAAGTTATACAGCTCAAGATAACAATAGGTTGACAACGTGAGCCATTTGCCAATGATTCATTTGTTGCGTTTAAACTTCGAACATTCTAAACCTAAATGTGTAATGCCTACCTGATACAAAAGAGAAGATGAAATAACTAACATAATTTAAGGATTCTCAACTTAATTAGCGATTAAATCATATAAACCTATGAAAGAGCATGTTTTCCAAATATAAACCTATGTAAAATCTTATATAAGATATACAAAGTTATTGCTCGTTTTATATCAAGCAAGGAGAATTAAGTTAGAATATGTTACCTTAACGTAAAGGTTATATCCACATTGATGTTCTTTAAAACAAGTAATTGAGGAGAAAACAAGAGTGAAAGAGAAACTGTTTTCATTCTAATAAACATACGTCAAAGGTCCAATGACAAATTATATCTATCGCAGTTTTAAGTATTATAATATCAATAAATATACATTGATAAGTAGTAATATTAATTCACAAAATAAATAAAGGAAAATCTAACATGAAATTGAACCTGCAGGCCTGTAAATTTTTATTTTGCATTAAAGTGTTCCTGCTGATCTAGGTTTAATTTAGATCCGCCACTGCCCCCACTCAATTTCAATTTTTTTAAAAATACTAGTATAATATTCGACTATCGTTTACACTTTATAATCTTTGATTTTGTTTCCTTTATCAAAAAGTTTTCATATGTAAAGTGAGAGATATTATCTTATCTCTATTGCTTCAAAATTAGCTGTGAAAAATTTGTTAAAAAAAAAAGAGATTTTTTTCATATTTTATATAAAAGGCTGTACCACTGTGAAAACATAGCACAGTAAGGAGAAGACTCTACCAGACTTGACAGTGTCTTATTTTTGGTATGCTTAGCTCATGAATAATGAATGCATTTTCAAGTTTACGGGGAAAAGAATTTCCAAATTTGTATCAAATATATTTTATTCATACGCATTATTTCTGTCCATGAATTTGGTGTAGAGAAAATGTCTACCATCACTCTCCCTCTTGGCTATTATTTTTCTCATTTTCACTCTGTACAAGATGCATGAACAAAATATGTCCTTGATTTGTAATGATAATAAATTGACCATTTACTTGCCAACTTAACAAAGTTTTACACAACTACGTGAACTCTTGGAGTAGGCTAAATATTCATTTTAGTTACATATCAATCAATTCTTTCAACATGTACATGTTTTAATTTTAAGATTTATAATTAAGATTAAAGTAGCTAATGCCCTTACAACACTGATAAAAAAAATTAAGAATACAAGTTTTTTATAAGAAAAAAAATATTATTGTATTCATTTTGTGATTTTTAATATTTTTTAAAAATTATTTAACTAATATTTTAAAAATATTGCTTAATAAGACTTTAAAAATAATTTAAATACATATTTTAAAAATTAATTATACCCAACTTCCAAATTAAACTTTGGAGTTTTCCTTATGAGGTAATAGAAATTCACCATGTTCTAACTATTCTAGTGGCCGATATTGTTGAAATTTAGGATTATGAAGAGAAAGAGAAGAAGGTGCCAATTATTGACGCCCACCACACCTTCCAAGGAGGGCACAAAATTTAAAATCGCCCCCTTCTTATCCTCCAATGTCATGCCCTGCTTGTCCGATTTGATTCTCTGACGCATTCAGTGACACAAACTCATGCATGCACCTCTTCTAACCACCCATATCTATAAAGCTATGTTTAATTTACCCCATTTTATTTTTAGGGAATAAATAATCAAAGAATAGGAAACATGCCAGTTATTTTTTTATTCAATTTATTTTTAATTATATATATATATATATATATATATATATTATATCACTGAGATAAAACTTAATTAAGTATACAATCTCTGTAAAAATTGCAAAATATATACTTAGTCTTTATAAAAATAAATTATTGATTTAATTTTTACTTTTTTTCATACTTTATTTTTAGTTTCCCTGTACTTTAACTAAAAATTAATATTCAACGATATCTTAATAGACTAAAAGTAAGTACATAGAACAAATAAAGAATAAAACATACCAAAAAATTTTAAATAGATTAAATTTAAATTATATTGTAAAAATAAAAACTTAATTAAGTTCAAAGATAAAATACTATTTTTTTTATTGTAAAAATGTTATTTTAATATTCAAAATGAGTGTTTACATTATATATCCATTTTTTTTTGTGTTTAAATAATTTATATTATTTTTTACTACATTAATATTATTTAAACTTTTTTATATAAAAAATAATTTTAAAACTCTTTTTCTATCGCCTGAAAGCAACAACAAAAGGGTATAGAATACTTGTGCAATATTTGTCCGTATAATGAAAAACAGAACTGTTGTAACTATCTACTATATACCACTTGTTCTATATAAATTTTGACCAGCCTTTGCTCCCATGCCATTCTATTCTCACACGAGCAATAGACAACTATCGTTGCAGGAAGAAAGAAAGGCAATGGACGCTGCTGGAACCTATGGCTATCCAACATCACCAGTGAAAAAGATAGAGTCTTACTATGATGTGCCTGAAGGAATGGACATTAGGGGAAGATATGACGAAGAGTTTGCGAAAATTCTCACAAAAGATGCTTTGAAGTTCGTTGCTGACCTGCAACGTGAGTTCAGGAATCACATAAAGTACGCATTAGAGTGCAGAAAAGAGGCAAAGAGGAGGTACAATGAAGGAGCTCTACCTGGGTTTGATCCAGCCACAAAGTACATAAGAGAAGGTGAATGGGTGTGTGCAGCTGTTCCACCAGCTGTTGCTGATAGGAAAGTAGAGATTACTGGCCCTGTCGAAAGAAAAATGATCATCAATGCTCTCAACTCTGGAGCTAAAGTCTTTATGGTTAGTATTTAGTATGCACACTACACTACTCATGTTGCTTTTTAATCATGTTGTATAGATTGGTTGTGGGACTAATAACCTATCACTAACTCTCCTTGTTTTGTTGCTTTTTGAAGAAGTTGTAATGTTGCATAGACTGGTTGAGGGATGAATAACACAAATCAATAAGTTTTGTTGTTTGAATTATTCAAAATTGAGACTGTGAGATCATATATTATAAATTTTAGAAAATTATTAACATAACTTTTAAAATTAAGTTTAAATCATTAATAATAGTAAAATTTTATTAAAAAATATATATTATACTCTTGTATTTTTAATATAATAATTTTTTTAATAAAAACTTGTTACGTTTATGTAACAAAACAAATTGTAAGAGTTGAGTTTAATAAAATTGCTAGCTTTAGTTACATCACATTTGACCCAATTTCTTTTACTTTCTATTTATTTTTTTTGTATAGATACTTCGCAAACCTCAAATGCGAAAAGAACATCTTTAGTTGTCCCAAATATTTTTGAATAACTTAAAAATCCCTTAATTAATAATTGAGTTGAGATGTATATGAAAAGTAAATGCTAATCGGTGTCTTGAATGAATTAAAAAATAAAAGGTTTTTGTCAAAAAATAATAATAAATATTTTTGTTTTTCAATGCAATCTAACGTGTTTTTTTTTTTAACTTTCAATTCTTTAATCAGTGTCCAAGAGTACTTAATAGCAAGATCCTATATAAAAATAGTATCAAGCATTTGTTTAAACTTGCATTTAGTGTCTAAAGATATTAATTGAGAAATTAAAAAGAATTATAAAAAATTATATTAATACGCACTTTTTGTGATTTTTAATACATTTCTAATGTTATTTTAATAATTTTTTATTTTTTAATCAACTTTCTTATGCAACTAATTAGCAACATCTATTTATTCAATTATATTTGGAGGTGTGTATTGAATTTGGTTTATCCTGAAAAAAGAAAACACTGAAAGATGTTGCTCATGTCAAAGGCTGATTTTGAAGATGCATTGTCACCCAGCTGGGAGAATCTGATGAGAGGGCAGGTGAACTTGAAGGATGCAGTGGATGGGAGCATAAGCTTCAATGACAAAGTGAGAAACAGGGTTTACAAGCTCAACGATCAGACAGCAAAGCTTTTTGTGCGACCAAGAGGTTGGCACCTACCTGAGGCTCATATTCTGATTGATGGTGAACCTGCAACTGGTTCCCTTGTTGATTTTGGCCTCTACTTTTACCACAATCACTCCACATTCCGCCATACTCAAGGTGCTGGCTTTGGCCCTTTCTTTTATCTTCCAAAAATGGAGCATTCAAGGTAAGCACTAGCTTTTGCAAAATTGCAAAAACCCAAATTGTGTATAAAATATTTTTTTTTCTAATTAAAGTCAATAATAAATAAAAAAGCAAGTGAATAAAAAATAATATTTTTCTCAAATTTCAATAATATAAAAATATAATACATATTTTTAGAGTCTTAAGAAGATGAATTGACAAAATTGTGATAATATATGTAATTGTAATGCTAGAGCCTTGTGATTGACAGGGAAGCCAAGATATGGAATAACGTGTTTGAGAAAGCAGAGAAGGTGGGAGGAATTGAAAGAGGAAGCATTAGGGCCACGGTTCTGATTGAAACACTGCCAGCTGTGTTCCAAATGAATGAAATTCTGTATGAGCTAAAGGACCACTCTGTGGGTCTGAACTGTGGTCGTTGGGATTACATTTTCAGTTATGTTAAGACCTTTCAGGCTCATCCAAATCGTTTGCTACCAGACAGGGTTCAGGTTGGCATGACTCAACACTTCATGAAGAGTTACTCTGATCTTCTCATCAGGACGTGCCATAGACGCGGTGTGCATGCTATGGGAGGAATGGTTTGTGATCAAACTATTTTGCTTTACTACTACTAGCCATGCATATTCACTTCTAAGTAGTTCTGACTTCAACAAAATGGCATGCATATATATAGATTAGGAAAGTGGTTGTTACACGAGATGAATCGGAAAAAATAGATAAATAATATGTTAGATAATACTGTGTAAATATATGAGTATGATTGTTGTATAAATTATAGACTATACAATGTTGGATTCTTAGTTGTTAATCGATAGTAAAATTTAGTTTATTCAGTCTTTTTTTTATTTGAATAAATGATTATAAAAATGATAATTTATTTCCCCTTTTTTATTTATTATTTTTAAATATTGTATACAAAAAATAATAGAAAAAAATTTGTTCATTTTTATTGAAAATTTTAATTAAGGAACAAAGAAAAATAAAAATAAGGTGACATTTTTTGTATATATTTGTAAAAATAAGATATGGACACAGAAAATAATTTGCTAAACAAAACAGACCCTTATAAAGTGATCTCTAGGCATGTCTAGAAATCAATCAAACAAGAGGCCATACAAACTCGTCATATAAACGTGTGTCGCAGATAAATTTTTAAATAAGTTTTTATAAGAAAAAATATATAATTTCTAAAGTTAAATAAATTAAAAAAATAAAGAAATATAAGTGGAATTTACTTTATTATTTAATTTTTTACTGTGTAAATACTATTGAGAAGCTGATTCAAACTGTACCCATGTACAAAATGTTTCCAATCAATCAAAATCGTTGAACAGGCAGCACAGATTCCAATTAAAGATGATCCAGTGGCTAACGAGGCAGCACTGGAACTAGTAAGGAAGGACAAGCTTAGAGAAGTGAAAGCAGGGCACGATGGCACATGGGCTGCACACCCAGGCCTTATTCCAGCATGCATGCAGGTTTTCAACAACAACATGGGCAGTGATCCTAATCAAATAAACACAATGAAACGTGATGATGCTGCAAACTTAACTGAAGAAGACCTCTTGCAAATACCAAGAGGAGCACGCACTGTGGAAGGTCTGCGATTAAACACGAGGGTGGGAATTCAATATGTGGCTGCATGGCTCGCTGGAACTGGTTCAGTGCCTCTTTACAACCTCATGGAAGATGCTGCCACTGCTGAACTCAGCAGAGTGCAGAACTGGCAGTGGCTCAAGTATGAAGTGGAACTTGATGGAGATGGATTTGGAGTGAGAGTGAATAAAGAACTCTTTGGTAGAGTGGTTGAAGAGGAGATGGGTAGGATTGAAAAGGAGGTGGGAATAGAGAAGTTTAAAAAGGGGATGTACAACGAGGCTTGCAAGATCTTCACCCGGCAGTGCACATCTCCAATATTGGATGATTTTCTTACTCTGGATGCTTATAATTATATTGTAGTACATCACCCCAGGGAACCATCAAAGCTTTGAACTTTGAGGTGGGGTTCTTTATGCCTAATGTTTGGTTGATTTGAATTCTGTCTTGTGTGTGTACCTAAGTCGCCCTTGTGTGGGAACCTAAGGGCCTAGGACCCTCATAATTATGGGTATAAGAGAAAAGAATAAAGTTTGTGATTCCAGCTATTTTGAATGATGGTCGACCATGCCCTAAATAATCTAAATAACTGTGCTATAATACTAGTCTTTGAAATAACTATCGGAAGCGATTGATGATGTTAGCTCGAAAATCATTTTCTGCTGTAAAATCAGTATGACGGTGTTGAGAAACACGACGAGAGCCAAAAAGAGAATTGAGAAAAAGTAAAAATATGAAACAAAATATAGCGAAAAGAGTGTGATCCTAGTCTAATACATGACGTATATAAAGAAAGGAACTAACATTGCATGGAGCAAAATCTTCGAATTTTTCATCTGTTGCTTTGCAATGGAGGACTGAAGGATTGACAGAACAGCATTCGCTGCGGGATTACAGCACATGTATTTCATTCCAGACCAGAGTTTTAAGAAAATTTTGTTTACAGCTTGTCCTAATTGTTTACATTTTCCAGTTAACAGTATCTATGAGAATATGCAGGCACAAGCATCAGTTTTCTCCTTTTTTTCCTAGATAGAGTTAGACATAGCTAATTGGGGAGAGCAGAAATTAATTCATGTTTCTCTACCATTGAACCGAAATCCATGTGGTTGGTTCTATATGTCAGTTTTACGCAACCTAGTTTATTATCAAAATAACTGCTAAACTCCATCCACATTTATTGGCTGTATTGCTTAATCAATTGAAAACATAATGGCCCGGCCCGAAATTCAATTGATAACAAGGTAAAGGATACTCAAATTTTACAATTCCTTAGTAGAACTCATGGTTTAGTTTTTGGAACTCCAAAGAAAGCAGGTCCATTTATCATCTGAACTGGACAACCTAGAAGAATGAGTACGAGGCTATGAGCTATGAAATTGAAGTACAGCAAGCACGCACGGTTGATGATACAGCTTTTTATATTGCATTCATCAAATGTACTATTAATGAAAACTTTGTCATCTATGTAATAATATCAGCCTTAAATTAATATTTTAATAAAATTGCACAGTTAGAACCCTTCAGCAACAGCTTCTAAACAGACCATATATGAGCAATTCCTTAGTGTAGAGATAACCTATATGTCCACAGCAATCTTTTCATCAAGATGAGAGAATTCGTGGAAAAAGGCCTTGAAATGCTCGTATGAATGCTTCACGTCGTCAACCGCACACATTTCTCGTATGCTATGCATTGACAACTGCGGTGCACCCACATCAACTGTCCGAATACCCACACCACTTGCAAGAATGGGACCAATGGTTGAACCACAAGGCATGTCATTGCGCACCACAAAGTCCTACATCAACATATATCGTTATAATTTCTCTCTTATACCAGTATTCAAACAACTAACATCCTTGAGTGCTATTTCTGATAGTCCAACAAAAGGGAACAATTTTGCCCCCTAAAATACCTACAAATATTAAAATGGATAATTGCTTTCTCCATGATCTATCTTCCCTCTCTAGAAGCAATCCAGTCAGAGAAAGAAAAAAAAAATTTCACTAAACTGACCTGAATGGGAAGGTTATGTTTTGATGCTATCTCTCTGAAAATGAAGGATGTGACTGCATTTGTTGCATAGCGTTGATTTGCATTGTGTTTAATGACAAGTCCTCCGTGTAGTTTAGGCTGATGGTGTTCTTCATGTTTGTCCTACCAAAATAGCATCCTCAGGAATGAGCAATACTTATATAATATAAGAAAAAGTTAATCATAAAGCACATGAGAAGACATACCATGTAATTAGGGTGTAGTGCATGCGCCATATCAGCAGAAACAAGGAAGCTTCTTTGTATTGCTTTCTCAAGCACCTAGAATAAAATCAGCAGATAGAAAACTGATTATTGAAATCATAATTAGGAGTGGTTACTCCATGTCATTAAATCTTGTGAATGCTCCTATTACACATGCCACAGCCTACAAACTTATGGATTGGTGCTCTAATGAATTAGGAGGACTTAAACAATCAGAGAGCCCCAAGCATCGTTGAACAGCTACTCTTTATATCTGTTATCAAGAATGTCATATGTGCTGCTCATGAATTCTCAACACACAGTTGACTACAATGAAGTCATCAAGTTACCACAAACAAGAAATACTTATAGTTCTCAAGCACAAAAATGGAAAAAGATGGTAGAAGATTTTTTACCTCGGAGTCTGAGCTAAAGGAATTTGTAACCCTAGATAAAGCATTCAGCATAACAGGAGAGCCAGCTCCCTGTGCAGAATTAGATCCACATTCCTCATGGTCAAACAAAGCCACCATTCTTACGCCAGTCTCTTCCTCAAGACTGCTGTGAGAGGATGTGGAGTCTATCAGTGCCTGAAATATAAACCATCGGTCAACATAGGATAATCAACATTTACTACATAAAATTTTCAAAGAAAAAATAATTTTACACACCATGCACAATCAACATTCTAATTTCCAAGTTGACAGTCATGCGATCCAAGATTAAGTTCTACTTTCAAAAAATCCCTTTCATCAGTCAGAAACAAGCACCCATTGGCATTTGTATCCGTGATGCTGCCATTGGATTGAATCTTAAGTTGGTTATGGAGTTTTCTACAAAATTGAGCCACACCTGAGAAAATCTTTACCTACAACTAAGCCAGAGGTTGGTAAAACAAACTACAAAAGCAAAAAACAAAGGGTTCACATAGAAAATAATCACTTGGTCAGCAAGACTAAAAGTATATGAGTCTGAAAAATCGGTAGCTTGGTGAACAAAGCAGTTTATTTACCATCTCTAAATATCAACTTCATCAACCCATGGGTGCATAACTGCAAAACTATTAAATAATATTTAAGGAAGCTCGCCTACCTTTTGATGTCTGGAATGGAGAGTCAAGAGAAACCCATATATTTACATTAATTTACATCAACAAACTACATAAATAAATGCAGCAAATGGATAAGAGAAATCAACTGGATTTGAACCAGTGATCTCTCTCAATTCACACTTTCTCATACATGTGAGAAAATGCAAGTAGACCCAGAGTTCATTGTCTGTAGTCATTCTATAGCGTAAATTATGATGATGTTCTAAACTCATGGGAAAGTGATAACTAGAAGCTTTGTCTTTGCATTATAAAAGGAATTTAAAGTTCAAAATTCCCCAATTTATGGTAGTAGGTATCATTCAAAATGGCATAATTCAAAATCAATATTATACTTAAAAGTTCATATATAATATATTCACTTGAAATTTGACCAGAGAAAAAATCTCTACAGATCCTAGACCTTTAATGAGCAGAAGGACATGCAGAGATTATCCAGCCGTCCTGAAAATATGAATTCCTTGGCAGCTCCAGCAACAACACTTGGTTGGGTATCACAGACTTGTAACTCTAACTCACAAATATCACCAGGTTCACACCCAAGCTTGCTTGCGAGCAACTGAGGAAAAGAGAAAAGAAGAAAGTCACCAACAACTAAACCCACAATCATTATTTACAGGTCACGAGGTCAAGACCCAGATAATGTGTTATAATTGCTTGTGGCAAACGTTAAAAGAAAATGTAACTGAAATAAAATATCAATTAACGCAATGACAATGCCAAAGCCTGTTAACCTGTAGTAGAAGAGAGTGGTGCTTCATATTGCTAGTATTTGTTTTATCATTTGCTTTCTTACCATCACTCTGCTTTCCACTTTCAGCTGAACCATTTTCAGATACCTCTTTATTAAGCAATTCCTGCAAGACAGAGCTGAAACTCATGGAATGTGTAAAAGCTAAATCCAATAATAAAAAATAAATACTTTGAATCTGAATAAACAATATATGTGGAAGCTTATTTCTGCGAGGGAACTACATACAAATACAAGTATCAACACATACCTGCACAAAAACTATTTCATCAGAACACAAGCATAACATATACAAGTTAAAATACCAGGTGTTGCAACTTAGGAAGAATGATTCTTATCTAACAAAAATATACATCTTTAACCAGTAATTGAACTCTCTAACCACAAGCAAACAAAAAAAGTAAAATATACTAAACATATTAAGTACATCTAACGTTGTACTTAAGCATTAAACCTCCCAAACTCCCCAGCCATAATTATTTTCAATAGAATGCTATCTTTGATAACAATATTACCTTAATCAACGTTGCTAATATGGGAAGAAGTTGAGTCTGAGTGTTAGCTTTGAATCCATCGTTAACATTCCTAATCAAGCACGTCGTATGTCAGTCAACAAAAAACAAGGAAGAAGATAACAATCAAGCAAACAAGCAAACAAGCAAAATATCAGCCAATAAGAAGCATCTATTCTCAGATGAGCAGCAAGAAGACCTGTCCAAGTGAATTGCTAAAGTTGGGATCCGCATTATTGGTTCCTCAATTCTAACAAGCCGGTGCAAGTAAGAAGTAGAACCCCCTTTTTCTTCTCGAATTATTACCCTTCCAGCAACAGTCAAGTCCCTATCAAACCACGTATGCCACAAGCCACCACCATAAGTCTGAACCCCAACCTCCAAAAATCCACCCTTAACCACCTGCCAAAAATATAACCCATATCATCAAGTTATGTGTTATAAAGATCACATGTTTACAACAATAATTAAATAATTTATCAATGCAGAGCTTTACCTTGCTTACTGGCTTTAGTTTCAGACAAGGACTATCAGTGTGAGCACCAACTATGTAAAATCCATTCCCAGCAACATATCTGAGTGAGCACGAATGTGAGAATAATAGACTAAATACAAGTTACCCAATCAAGTTCAAAATGGCATATTAACCTTCATTTTCGAATTCCTAATTGAAAAAATACTTATGTTTTGCCCTTTATAAGAGTCTGTCATTACATTTGGTTCCCGTCATTTCTATATAATTTATGCTTTATTTCTAATATTATTAAAAAGGGATCAAAGCTCACGAGTGAAATTTGTATTTTAACCTAATAAAAATTATAACAAGACACTTTATTTCTATTACGCTATGAAATTATCAAATAAAATTCAGTAATAGAAGTGTGTAGATAGCATTTTTTCAGTCACATAATAACATTGATCGATGATGATGACTTTGCATTTGCGACAGCGGAACGGTACCTTTTACCAAGAGCAAAAGCGATGATGGAAGAGTGATTCCTAGTGAAGAAGTACGATTTGCCGGCTTCCAAATTCCACGTGTCTCTCTCACACAGCTGCTCAAACCCCGCGCTACGCAATCGCTTCTTTGCCTCTTCTGAGACGTCGACAAAACAATCAAATGAACAAAACCAATGCAACTATACGACAAATTATTTTTTTTATTTTTCTTACCAACAGCATGAAAAGGAGTTGGAGAAGCATTCAAGAAAGCGATGAGATCGGAAACGACGTCGTAGCTGTGTTCCTTGGCCATGGCAATTGACACCGCCTTCACTTTCACTTTCAGTTTAGAGTGCAATGTGTTGTTTCTAACTTTCTACGTGGAACGCGGAGGTAGAGTCCACTATATATAAGCTGGCTTAGCGTTAGGCTTACACGTTACATTACCCGAATCCATTTCCTAAGCCCCCATCGCATTTCCAAATGTTCCTTTTACACACTGCATTGCACTTCGAAACCTCGTTGGCCCCTTGATATGCATGCTGTAAAATAATTATTAATGTCTATTACTTTAACATATGGTATTATCTTTTAATACCAAGTAGATTACTCAGATGAAATTTTAATTTTAATTAAAAATTATCAAACGTTTTTATGTTAAAATTAATTTTAATGTAAATAGTATCAATTTTTTAATAATAGTATAGTGATTGTGTGGTAATTTTATAATTTAGAGTGTATTGGAATAAATAAATGATTCTAAGAGCAACTTTAAAGGTGAACCTGTACGTTTTGGGCCCATTTTATTTGGTAAGAAACAGGTTCTTAAACCCCAAAAAAAAAACAGTTGCTTATTTTTTTCTGTCAGCTCATCGAACTCTGACACTGATATTTCACATGCAACGGTTTCTTAATTTAATTTTTTAAAAGCAACTTGCATTAAAATTGCTCTAAGTGGATGTTTGGGTAACGTATTTATAATAAAGTTCAATGGGACCCACTATAAAATGAGAAATTTCAGGCTTACCAGCTAATTCCTTAATTTTAGTTGAGAATTAGAGAGATCTTGAGGTTAATTCAACTTTGATGAAAATGATCACTTCAATGTTGTGATTTTCTCCTAAATCCTTGCTCACCCAATACACATAATTTTAGTAACGCCCTAAACATTAAATTCAATAAGTTGTCTTCTCTAATAAAACCACCAACAAGTAAAATAAGATAGAATAAAAGAATAAGATCAGACTAAAAAATTTGATTTGAATTCTCTATAGCTAAATTTTCCTCCACCTTTATTTATACAGAAAAAAAAAAATGCATGCTAGTTTGTCTAATTTTTTAATAATTAATTTTACTTTTATTAACCAATCATAACTGTTTAATATACAAATTACTGATTAAGATTTTGTTAGAGATAAGCTAAATCGTGGTTGTTTACCTTTTTTTTTTTTTACTAATCATATTCATTTATTATCGAATACTTATCTCAATACAATTCACTGTATTTTAACCATTGTTTCACCCAATCTAATACCTACAACTTGTGACAGTCATATAGATTGACAACACAATTGATTCGTACAAGTTCAATTTGTATATTATTAAAAAAATAATTTTATATTATATCTAATTCCAAAACAATTAATACTCTATACAAGTGTTCAGTGTAAACTACTATCCAACTTCATATTATTTTATATACTTGTATATGATTAAGTAGAATTATTGTAACAATGTATAATTAAACTTGAAGTTTACAAAATTATAAATAAACATTAACAAAGTTATTCCAGATCCTTTTAACATTGGTTGTCATAACTTCTAAACATAAGTTTATTCAGTTTATCATTTATCATTATAACTGATGTATCACTTCAATAATACGAGAGAAAAATTATCTTTATAACTATAATATTTTGACAATTAAAATCAACCTTTTACCAAAATGTGTGTGTAGAATTATAGAAATCCAACTCAATAGGGAAAAAGAGAAAGCATTAATTTGCTTTAAAAAAAATAAAAATTTTGATTTTCTATCTCACAGATACTCTTTCGGTCTCTTATATTGTAATAATAATAATAATAATTGAAAGTTAAACTGTATCTTATTATCTTTTACATGATGGTGCATATGGAAAAAAAGTAGTAATTTTTTTATTTATTGTAAAAAGTATAGTTACCAGTAAGCTTCCTTGATAAATTAATTATTTATAATGTATTCTTCTTAGTTGTAAGTGCAAGTATAAAAGACAGGTGGTTGATGATCATAGTTTAAAGGTTATACAAAAATTATTATCAATTATAATAATGATATTCTTACCTAATTATAAATAAAATGACTTTTTTATGGTAGTTATTATTATTACTATTACGAAATTTTTAACATTATTTATTAATATTTAAAAAAAATGAAAAGACACTTCAATAACAATTGTGTCAAAAGTAGTGAAATGGCAAATAATTTGAGGCAAGGGTAAATTAATTTTTACCATCTCAATTTTGTTTATTTTAAACCTTACTCTTTGTTATGACTCTTGAAATATTTAATATGATAAAAAATAAATAAAATAATATATATATATATTTGATTAATGAGCTATTAACATGTAATTTTTTTTAAAAGTTATAACAGATTAGATTATTCTTATTATCTAAATTTATCTTTAATAAAATAATGATGTTTAAAAAAATAATAAACCTTAGAAATTAATAATAAAATTATAAAAATAAATTATTTGAATCAAAATAAATAAATAAATAAATAAATTTATTGCTGTTTGGTGATTTTTATTAATTTATTATGATGTATTAAAATGTAAAATTTAATATATAGTTATTTGAATTAAATTATTAGTATTAAAAAATATATAAAGTACAAGGTACAAAAGAGATTGAATTTTTTAAATTTTTTTAAATTGTCGATGGCGATTTTATTAAAAAATTATTGCTGACAAATTTTTAAAAATTATTGATGATTTTTCGTTTTTAAAATTTTATATTATTTTTTATAAAAAAATTACCACTTATGAGTTTTTTTTATTTTTTTAATTTTTAAAATATTTTTTTTATAAAATTGCTAATGTCAAAATTTATTTCTTCTATCAATACTTATATAAAAAAAATTTAGAGACAATTTTTAAATTTCGTATTTTATATATGTTTTTGAGATAATATAGTTTAGTATATATAATTTGTAAATTTTGTATATAAATAAATAATAATGAGTTGAGTATATAAAATTGAAAAGGCATCTGAATTTATATCTCCTAAATTTAAAATATTGTTTTATCAGGTTTTTGTAAATTTAATAGTTTTGAAATATTTATCTTCAAAAATTACATAATTTTTTTAAAAAAAATTTAATGTGATGTACTGTGGTTTAAAATTTAAAATATGATTTAAGGTTAATTAAATTTAAATAATCACATGTGAAAATATTAAAAAAATTATAAATAAAATAACACATATGATCTGAAATACGTAATATAAGAGAGATTACATAATTCAATAAAAACAATTATATCATAAAACTCTCCGAAATTTAAAGTGAGTAAATATTTAGATTTGTATTTAAGCATAAATAATATAAATGTAATATATAAATAACGATTGATGATTAATAGATACAAAACGATATCAGATACTGTTACACGGTGGTTAGTTTGGTTGATATTACGCGTAAAATCCAGCCAATAATTGATAGGATCGTGCACGACGCTTGAAACGCGATATTTATTTAAGTCGGTAGCCTCAATCAGAATCTCACACAAAACGCGTCAACGAAGACTCCCAAGGCGGCTTCTCTCATCGATACCCTCTTCTTCACAGCTTCCTCCTTTCGGTTTCTTGTGTCGCCGGTAAGGCCATTCGAAACCTCTGAAACCCATCGAGACGCAGCCACCGTCTAGGGTTTTGTCCCTCCTGCTTTTCCTTGCTTAGTTGCTTTCTTGTTTGTTTTCTTCTCTGATTTTTTTTCCCCAAATTGATAGCAATCGCTGTTGATTCTATTGAGAAAGAAGTATAATTAATTTTTGCTGTTTAGTTTTTTGTTCCGGTTGCTGATTAGGGTTGCGTGAATCATTGATAAACAAATCGAATCCTCCTATTTTTGGGGCTAGGGTTTGGAACTTTGGGATTTTTAGGGTTTCGGTTTGAAATTCATATTTTCTTCGATTATTGATTGCTTATTGAGAGCGCTTGTGCTTGTGCTTGTGCTTGTCAATCACATGGCGGCAGGAAGAAAAAGTGTTTCTCTGAGGCGAGAATCTTACAAATATGGTTCCACCAAGGGTTTTGATGATAGGAGTGGTTCTTTCGGCGTGGAAGTGGGTGGATCGGGATCTCGCTACCATCACGTTATCCGTTCTGAACAGAATGGGTTTCATGGTGGGAAAGAGGAGAGAGAGCAAGGTGAAATCTGTGTTGAGCATGTCTCTGGTTTGCCACCGCCAGAGAAGAAAAGAAAATTTTCTCCAATCATATGGGACCTAGCAGAGGAGGGAGTAAGAATCTCTTCAGAAAGCAAGCTCTCGAAGGTGGCAGTTATCTCTCCCCCTCGTCCTTCTCCATCGAGTAATCCTGGAGCCAATGATGCTTTTTATGGGGATGTTATGGAGGTGTGTTCCCCAAATTCCTCTCATATGTTGCCTCAAAAATATTTCCAAAACAATAACCAAGATGTGGAGGGAGAGAATGAGGTGCAAATGTGGACCATCACAAAGTCAAGATGGGCTTGTGATGATGGTCTTTCGCCAATTGGTGCTGATGATAAACACCAACATGGGAAAGGGAGCTCCAGTCCTGAAACAGGTGAGTTCCAAAGAGAATGTTCAGAGAGCACTGTCACTAGATCATCAGGAGGCAGTGGAAGAGATCATTATCTGAGCCCATCTACCGATGATACTGATTCTAAAAAGGATTTCCTTATGGACTCCATGGACGATGTTGAGGAACAAAGTGATGTCAGTGATTCTCCGGCAGATTCTGAGAATGGTGGTTTGATACATGTGCAGAGAAATATAAACATGCTTCAGAGTTGCAGAAGTGTGTGCGAGTTTGAGATGATTAAGAAAATAAATGAAGGAACTTATGGTGTTGTCTATAAAGCTAGGGATAAGAAAACTGGAGAAATAGTAGCATTGAAGAAGGTGAAGATGAACATAGACAGGGATGGCTTTCCGTTGTCGTCCTTGAGGGAAATAAACATTCTCTTGTCTTTCAATCATCCCTCTATTGTGAATGTTAAAGAAGTAGTTGTTGATGATTTTGATGGTACTTTCATGGTAATGGAGTATATGGAATATGACCTCAAGGGGCTGAAGGAGGTAAAGAAGCAGCCCTTTAGCATGAGTGAAATCAAATCCTTGATACAGCAACTTCTTGAAGGTGTCAGGTATCTCCATGATAATTGGGTTATCCATAGGGACTTGAAGACATCAAACATTCTTGTGAACAATGAAGGGGAGTTGAAAATATGTGATTTTGGGTTGTCAAGGCAGTATGGAAGCCCACTGAAGCCATACACTCCTGTTGTGGTTACGCTATGGTATAGGTGAGTAGCATGTGATGCTATTTTAGTTTTCATTTAAGTTATATCTGTAGATATATCTAGTTTGGAATTTTCAATTATATTGGCAGAGAAATGTATATGTGACAAACTCATGAATGGTTTATTGGTTCTCTGTGCAGAGCACCTGAACTATTATTGGGTGCAAAAGAATACTCAACAGCAATTGACATGTGGTCAGTGGGTTGCATAATGGCTGAATTAATTGGCAAGGAACCTCTGTTCAAGGGTAAAAGTGAACTTGAACAACTTGATAAGGTTAGTCACTTGGATTTACTTTTAGCTGCACATCATCTAGCTTATGCGAGAACTCTGCTATATTAGTAACACTTTGTCAACTTTCTGCAGATTTTTCGAACCCTGGGTACACCAAATGAGAAAATTTGGCCAGGATTATCTAATTTACCTGGTGCTAAAGCAAATTTTGTTAAGCAACCGTAAGCTTGCCTTCTTGTTTTTCCTTCTTAATAAGAGTGCCATGGTATGGATGATAATTGTTACATTTTGTCATGACTGACTGTAAGTTATGTTTCAGGTATAACATGCTAAGGAAGAAATTTCCAGCCACATCTTTTACTGGTTCAACTGTATTATCTGAGTTGGGATTTGACTTGTTGAAGAAGCTGCTTACTTACGACCCTGAAAAGGTATATGTAATTCATTGAATAAATCCTGATTAGTTTCCTGTGACGCTAAACTGAACAACTAACTTATAAAATTCATTTTCTACTTCTTGCAGAGGATATCTGCAGAAGATGCTCTCCTTCATGATTGGTTTCATGAAGTGCCACTTCCCAAATCTGATTTCAGGCCTATTTTTCCTTCTTGGCGGTGCTAGGGCAGGTACTTTTGCTGGATGCATGAAATGCCAAGAACAGTGCTATTTTTACCTCATTTTTTCCAACTTTGTCTCTTACCAAGTTAATGATCATATACAATGATACGATTGCAAAAGACAGGGTAATGGACTCCGTTAGGCTCTTATTTGTTGTAAATTAGAAGCGGCAGATTGATGTGTATAGACCTGAGAAGGTATGGAATTATAGCTGATTTTTTTTTTTTTTTTCTCTACTGGAACTCCATGTACTTTGCCAGTGAAAATGATGTACACATATTTCAGGGCATTCAGTAATAAATGATGATTTTTTGCTATGGTATGTTGTTATCCTGTACTATCTATCTATTTCCAGTTTTTCACAATGGTTCCTTTTGGCTGTCCCACTGAATTGGGGGCATCAAATTTTGTTATTTTTTCCACGCTTAATTTTTCCACCAGGTTATCGTTGTGCCAAGCACTGGTAGCTGTTGGATATGTAGAAAAATAAATCAATTGCAGGAAATTTTCATTTTCAACTTGGCCAACAGGTAAAGATGTCAGTTTTTCAATTTGAAAGTTGCTGGTCCCTGATATAAAATGATATTGCATACTAGGTTTAGAAAGAAAAGAGAGTGTTTAGCTTCCATATTCTTCCCCATTTCTGCAATGTTTCATTTCCCTTCACAGAAATGGTCTTAAATACTTAAATTAACAAGAGGTTGAAATGAGTTTGCATGCCAGTAAATGGGTTATAAGGCAGGGTTTAGAAATAAGCTTTGTGGAGCTGCCGAGGTCAGAGCTAGGTGGTGGTGAGAAGAAAAAAGAAGAAGGGGTTTACCGTTGGAGGAGGGGTTGCAAGGATGCGAAGTCCGCTACCAAAGTTTCCGAAGGAATATTAGCACTCCAGTTTGTGCCTGTACCACTGCTGCAATTGGTGGGTGTTTGTAATTTGATCCAGTTCAATTTAAGTTGCTATGATATGAGGAAGAGTGAGTCATTTATTTTTCGCATTGAAATTCCCGTGGTGTTGGTAATTTATCGTTTATTACGAAATCTGTTTACGCTTGTGAAGAAATGCTGATCCGATGGAATAACTTGTTTGTCTGAAAAAGACATGTACGTGTAAAGATTTGATTTAATTTGTGATATATAACACCCACAAGTCAGAATATAGCTAAAATCTACTATCCGTGGATATAAAAACATATAACAAAGTATTAAAAATTGAACTTGCAACCTGCGCCAGCTCATAATGCAAGATCTGAGCATTATGTTGCCGATAATTTGATATTTGCTCTGTTCAGCATTTGGGTTTCAGCTTTCAAGTCCTGATTGTCCCTGTAAAGGTTTGGAATGGATAAAAATATAAAAATGTGCTTTTTTATTTTCTTAATTTAATTTACAGTACTTTGAGGGGAGGATTTTCATGTGTTTCGTATATCATAACTTTTATATTTCGGACAGCATAATTAAAATAGGAGAATACTAAATTGCATAAACCCAAACATTTAAACACCTCAACTGGGTATACTGTAATGTCCTGCTGGCCTAAATTTTTCTAGGCAAAGAAAACGAGAACGTAGATTTTATTGTTTCGGTTTTCAAAGAGGAAAGAAAGATCTCGTGTAACTATAAATAATAAAGTATTTTAGGTTATGTATTCTGATTCTTCATGAGAAAGCAGGTATGCATAGGTATCTTGAGATATTTAATAATTTAAAATAAGATTTCGGATGCTCCGAAAAAATAAAAAAAAATTTAGTATCACATCACCGTTTATAATTTGGTTCGATTGTTAAAGAAAATCTATTAAAATTAAAATTTAAGATAGGTATCGTGGTCAATTATATTTAGAGTGTAAATACGAATTTTATACCTTGGGTATTATATAGTTTTAAAAGCTTAAGATCAAGATAGTCTTTTCAAGGTTAGAAAAAAAAAAAATTCAGCTTGTCTAAGACTAGTTGATATAAATTAATATAATTCTTTTTAAAAATTTACATGAGTTTTGGTATAGATAGGCTTGCAACCCTGGTTTTCAATGACCTTAATTTTTGCAAAATTTAATTTAACAAGAGTTTTAACTCTATTAAAACTAAATTTGTAGTAAATTTGGTACAATATTTTTGCCATAACATAAAAATTACATTTCGTATTGCTTTTAGTCAAATGAATTTTAGCAGCAAACTTGATTCCGCAAAAAACCAAAACTACTTTTGACAAACATATTATAAGTAGCTCAATTTCCCAACCAGTTTTAAGGAAATCAATATATACCTTCCAAAGGAGCAAAAATACACGCTGAGAGGGCAAAGGTCAATAGTGAAATCAAGCAAAAGTAAACAGAACAAAATTAAAATTCAATTGACTTTTTATTTCGTTAAAGCGACTCTTCAAATCTGAGTTTGAGAACGGCCGGAATCTGCAGTAAATCTGCAAGTGATGCGGATTTCAGAGTACATTAAAATACAAATTGGGAAATTAAGTTTTCCTATAGGGAAAAAGTGAAACAGAAAACAATCCCAGTTCGAGCCCGAGGATCCTCTATTAAGACAGCACTTTCTCAACTTCAGCTGTCACCTCTTTGGGAGGTTTCTCAGCATGAAGATTAGCAACCATGCCCTTCTTTGAATAGTAATCAATAACCTGCATATTCAATGCACAAATTTTCAATAAGGCTATGAAAGAAAGTTGCAAAGAAAATCCTAAAAATAACAGATAAATGAGAAAGGCAATCCTCAAATAATTACCATCAGAGTACTAGAACTAGCATCAACACAATTGAAATGAGGCAAGAAATTAGCCCAAATGGTGAGAGAAGAATTTAAGTAAACTTTCGATCAAGCATAACCAAAAAGATTACATCATGATATCTCGTTGATAGTTACTGTTTATCCAAGTTTTAAAATTTTACAAGTCTTTAGTTAAAAACAGATTCAAAATCATACCGGTTCAGTTTGCTTGTGAAATGCCTCTAGTCTTGATTTAAGGACAGCTGCAGTGTCATCCTTGCGCTGGATAAGTGGCTCACCAGTAACCTGAGGTAAAAAATTTGAGAAAGAGAGCGGTAATTGGGCCAGTGCTTCCTTAACATAACACACCAAAGCTTGTTACATGCCCTAACACCTTGAAAATTGGGCAACCTCCATTTCTAAATTATCTATTCATCCCAAAGGATAAAAATAGAAAAAACTTTTGTAAAGACTATTAGTACTGCCAACAAGTAAAACCAGCAGTGCCCTAAAATGTCATTCATTCATTTTTCCCAATAATATAACATAAAAAAAGTTGCACCACATTATATTTATTAGAAATTGAGTGGGCTTAACCCTAAAGGCTAGCTCAACTAGGAAGGATTGGTCGAGTCCTATAAATAGTATTAGTAAGAGACTGCTCAAGTCTTATAAAAAGTATATTGATTATATTTGTAGTTAATGTTGAACATCTTAATGATATTCAAGTTTCAATGAGAGTGGACCAAAAAACAAGTTTGAATGAGACTCAAAGCTTTACCAGAACTCTCATAAATGCTTAAGTACCTATTAGCAGAAATCATGTTTAGGCAACTAACATTTTCACGCTTTAAAAATTATAGAAACTTACATCATCAACCCCAGAAACCTTCGGAGGGGCAAATTTTGTATGGTAGGTTCTGCCACTGGATGGGTGTATCCAGCGACCAGTAATTCTCTCCTCAAGGATTGCATCATCAATTGCAAAATTGAGCACTTTATCAACCTTCACACCCTGTTTTTCCAGCATCTCATCAAGCTGCACAGAAAGAAAAGGCAGGGTTAGTGTGTAAACGAACAGCATGTAAAAAAGTGAATATAATCACTTAATTTTTTTTTACGTACACATAAACCCAATATTTCAAACAAAAGAAACTCACTGAGTAGCTCAGATGTCAGAACAATGTCATACCTTCTGTGCTTGGGCCACAGTTCTTGGAAAACCATCAAGAATGAAACCTTTCTGACATGATGGTTTCTTCATTGCTTCATCTATAATGCCCACAACTAAGTCATCAGAAACAAGTTCTCCCTGAAAAATTGTACCATAATATCATATTAGCAATCTCTCAGGTAAGTACACAGTAAAACAGTAAATCCTCGTGTAAAATTTTATACAAATAGATCTTACCTTATCCATAGATTCTTTAGCCTTAATGCCAAGAGGGGTTTTGGCTGCTACTGCTGCTCTTAGCATATCACCAGTAGCTAAGTGGCATAAGCAGTACTCATCCTTAATGATTGGGGACTGGGTGCCTTTTCCTGATCCAGGTGGGCCTGCATTACCATTATTCCAAGTTATACTACACTTGGATTTCTGAATCCATTTGAAATTTATATTTCTTAAAGTGAATGTGCTAACCATATTCACTTTAAGATGAAGAATAACCCTGCCAGAAACTACATTTAAGTAAAGTGCTTAGAACATCGGTTTAAGTGATAGAAACCGGTACCAACACTGAAAGAAAGGATGGTTTTCCTTGCAATGAACCTTTATTCCCAAATCTGACCCACTGCATACTGCTCCTTAATTTGAGAGTCTTAGACTTCTCAACATTGTCCAATTACCAATTATGTATTCATCTAACCCACTTAATGCTTCTAAGTATCTACATTAGATATTAATTTAGTTTTATAGTTTAGAGCTGTGATCCTTATATCTACGTTCAAAGACCCTCATGATTGGAGGTCTACTCCTATCAGTAAGATATACGAAAGCATAACAAATGTGTGAGTGGTTCAATCGAGTATCAAGTGGAGGAAACCCTAAAAACCGCATCAACGTTAGAACGCAACAAACATCTTTTCGGGGGGTAGGAAAGCATCTAACTTTAGAACACAAGCATTTTCGGATCTGAATTAGCAGCGAGTATAAAAATGAAAAATTGATGAATTTTTTTATAAAAGAAGAAAAATGGAGATACCAATGAGAATAAGACGCTTGTCAGGTTTAGAGGAACACTTGAAACGACGAAGGAGCTCAGACATGAGATCGAGAGAGGGAACATCTTCCAAGTTAGTGTTGGCCATTGCTGCTTGTGTCGAAGCAGAATAGGGAAAAGGAATGATGACTTTGATTGTACAACGTTGGCCTTCTTCGGAGTTCGGAGCTTCCCACGTTTCAAACTCAACTCGCCGTCCTCCAAGTAACCTTCTCTTTCTTTCTCGCCCTTTGTTCGTTCGATATAATACAAGTGTTAGGTGATTCTATTTTTTTCAATTTTTTATTTTTCTTCGTTCAACCGTTTATTATTATTTTATTTTCTTTGGGTAGGTGCAGACATTTTTAACTTTTTGATAGGTTTGGTAGGTTTCAAAATACAATTTTTATAAACATGTTTTTTAATATATTTTTATTTATTAATTAAAATTAATGAAAGGTCGAGTAAAAAATGATTAAATTAAACAATAAAAATATTTTTTAATTAATAATAAAAAATTATTAATTAAAGAATAAATTTAATATTTTACCTTTTACATGTGCTATTATTGTTAATTAATATCTTTAAAAAATGAGATTGTAATTAATAATTTTTTTAATAAATATAACATAAAAAATGAAGGAGGGAGGTAGCGTATTATTAGTTCAATAGTACGACAAGTGATTGACAAAAAAAAAAGGACTAAGAAAATTAATAAAATAAATATTAATTTTTGTGTGACATTTGAGGCTTTTGACTTTTTGACAGATTTTTAAATATGAACAGTGCCCCCTTTAAATATGAAAACTCGTGTAACGCCACATTCTTTTTGGGAGATCAATGGGCAAATAGTGAAATACATTGTTAGCTTTTGAAAAGAGGGAAATTGTGAAAGTTTATAATTAAATTGCTAATAGATATTTATTAGTTTTTTAAACTTTTATAAAGTATTTTAAAATATTAGAGTGTTAATTGGTTGCCTGAAATAAAACCTGAATTTAGTTTTTTTTTTTTTTTAAGACTCACTCTTCTTTGGAACCCTCTCGAAGGGTTCATGCTTTAGAAACTTTTTAGTCTAGGCTTACTGCTTAATTTTATTTTGTTTGGACTGTAAGTTTTGTCAAATAGAAATATATATATATATATATATATATATAATTTTTTAAAAATTTAAAATTGTCAACACGAAAGTCAAATAAAGCAGCTAAAATTTATAAATTACTAAAAATGATCAAAGTAAATTTTTTTAAAATTATATTAAAAATTTAAAAATATATAAAAATTTACTGATGACAATTTTTTAAAATTAAAAAAAAATCAACTACCAAAAATTGTTAATACCATTTATTTTAGAATGTCAATTAAAAAAAAAGAATATTTTTATAATTTTTCTAAATTTCTATACTTTTAATATTTATTTTTTTCGGTATAAAAAAATCTTATTTATCATTTTATTTAAAGTAGAAAAAAAGTGTGACATTTAAATAAGATTAATTATAAAAATCACTTTATTTCCTAATCATTGTCAAATATTTAGACTGCTACATTTCAAATAGGAAAAAGTTTGCAACACCTCGTTTTTCTAAATATAATTTATAACCAAGGAAAAAAATGTGGGTAGTTAATGTTTAAAAACATTTTTTTTTCTTTTGAAAAGTAAAACACAGTTAATTTCATCAAAATTATCACCTAATTATAAAACAAATGAATCTTAAATTATTCAAAAAATACAATGTAGAAGTGGATCAAAGATATTATTTAAATGAAAAATTTATGCAGATAGTTTCTTGAAATTGAATTTAGACCATTTCATCAAAATAATAAGATGCACCATTGATGTGTAAGAGAAACGAGAAAAATAAATAAATAATGATGAAATTTGTGAAATATTTGATATTTCGTCATCAGTTCTCTGAACTGAAAAAGGTCATCAGCACATCCAGTCCAACAAATACAAACCACAACTAATCTAGACAGTTCGACGAGAAAAAATTATGATAAGATTCTTTTCAGTTTAATAAAAAAATAAAAAAAAAACTTTAAAAACTAAAAATTAATTGTTTTATCTTTTATTTAAATTTAAAATTTTTCTCATTTATTTTCTTTGATCTAAACAAACAGAGGATAAGTGATACAATTTTACAGAAAATGCTCTGAAATAATTAATAATAATAATATTCATGATTTTTTTTATATTATTATAAATATTAAGGTATAATTATATTGAATAATTAATTTTTTTATATTTTAGTAATATTTTAATTTTTTTATTTTTTATTTTCTAAAATTAATAAATAATTAATATTTGTATTATTGTATAGAGAAAAATAATTAATTAATTACAATATTTTTACTGTATATCTAAAAGTATACCACAAGATTTTATTTATAATAAATTTTTTAATAAATCATAAAATATCATAATTTAAAGCATTAATAACAGTAAATATTGTAATGTTTAATAAAACAATTAATTTTTTATTATATATCTTTAGATACATGAAAGAACATTTAATGTTATCAATACATTAAATTTTATATATTTTTAAAAAATACTTTGTAAATTGTTACTGTGTCTCTCTAATTGAAAACAGTAAAGATATTGAGATAAATTCAATGATATTAAATCTAGATAAAATTATTATATTAATATTTTTAACAAATAAATTTTTTAATTAAATAATAAAATTTTATTGAAAATTTTGAGCATGTAATTTTATTTTACGATTTAAATGTATCGTAATATGTAATTTTTGCTAGAAAATTGTTATATATAAATTTATTATAGTGTTTATTGTCACTTGTATTTATGGTCATTTTTATTTAATTTTTTTACTTAAATATCCTTATAGTTAACAAGGTTACAAATAAGAAAAAAATAATATGTTTGAAAAAGTATTTAAATAAAAATGACAATAGACATGTTTTTATTGTGTATTCTTAAATACATATTAAAAAATATTTTAAAATTAATTATTTTTATTAATTTATGCATCTTAGGTAACAGAGACCCGGAAAAAACTGGAAAAGAAAAATCCCTATCGATTTATTTCTTAGTCACAATTCTGTTTTTTTTTTTTTTAATGTTTACACAGATTAAACAGAATTATACAAAAGGTCCATAAAAAATTTCTAAGAAAACAAAGTCATGCCCGCTTCAGATGAGATGTTTATTTCAGTTTTAGTTTCTGAAAGCAGACTCCTCGAAGTTTGGTATGATTAGATTGTTACATAATTATACTAGTTGAGTAATTTCTTATTCATTTTTATCTGTCCTGGTCAAAAGCCAAATGCTATTGATAAAAAGAGCAAACAAAACCGATCACTAATATAATGATCGTAGAGTGAACCAATGGCTGAAAGTCTAAATGACCTTTTGATAAACTGATCCGCATGTAGATGTTACAAAATAATTCATCCATTCTTTTGGAGAAAGCGGATTACCATAACCATTTGTAAAAGAATTAAATATACTGCCACTATGGAACCTGTCAAAATGGTAGACGAAAAAAAATATCCTTGTGTGGATAGATAAATAGTTTAAGGACTGGCATAAAATGCAACACAATTCTAAACTATTGTGATATTCAATTATTTATACGTCTATCATTTTTCCTTAAGTATAATGAAAGTGCAAATTCAATTACCTGGTAGCTCGCTAGAAAATCGAATCATAGATAAAAAAAATCATGCGATAGACTATTAGGACAAAATTTGTATGCTAAATGTTAAGTCAACAGAAGTCTAGACATGTGAAATAACTGGTAAAAGTTCAAAGCAACAAAATGTAACATTGTCCAAAACTGTAACATAACAAATTGATTTCGACAGTTAATATTGCAATACATCTGGTTTACTCGTTATCCTTCCTTTTTGATTTCTTTTTCTTCTTCTTAGATTCATTAATAGCCTCCAGCACTTCTCCATTTTCATCCTTTTTATTCTTTTTAACTGCTCCATTTTGCTCACTTGCGACCCCATTGGCACCATCATCTTCAGCCTGCTCCATCTCCTCTTCCAATTTCCTTTTCTCTTTCTTTTTCTTTTTCCTCTCTGATTTATGATCCTCCCCTACATCACCATTTGTAACTTCTGCAGGGTTATCTACAACCATGTCATCACCATCTGCAGTAGCAGCTTTTTGCTTCTTCTTTTTGCCTTTCTTGCCTGAAACTTCAACAGGCACTTCTGTTTCCGTATCTGTATCTGCAACAACTAATATTATATCAGCTTCCAACATTAGATATAATGTATTGGGAACTGCAACATTTATGCTTCTTATCTTAAAAACAAATTTAACATCGATATAACCTCAACCAAAAAAACATTTTATCATCATGTAGTAACCAGTCATAAGTTTTGAGATATATTCTCAACCAAATTTATATCTTTCAAGTTTCAGGGAAAACCAGAGAGGTAGGCACTAGATATGGGACCTTTGTCTTCAGCACTTTCAATAGCAGACTTCATGACATCTATGTTCTTGCGAGGGGCAACTCCCTTGTCATAAAAGTCAAGTCGTTCCTCAACTTGCTCCCGGAGTTTCTCCCCAAAAACAGTAGAACCCCTTTCTGCATTGCAGTACAACAAAATCATGAAAAAGGTGCTAAGCACAGCCATAAAATATTGCTAAATTGAATACGTAAGAAACAAACCAGAAAAGCAGTCAATCCGTGATGCAATTGAGCACTTGTTTGCAAGATAACGAGCCATTCGGCCCTTATTCTTAGCAGATGCTCGACCAATAAAAGAAGAGTGGAATATCAGACCATATTTGGGAGTGTTCCCCCTTGTTTTTAATGCCCTGAAAAAAGCAGACAAATGCATTATAAATTAGCTGTGAGCGCTTGCAGGAATTGTATGTCAACAATGCAGACCAAAATTAGTTGCTCTACTCCTGACAAAACACAACCTACAAATACAGGAACACCAGAATTTTGCAGTTTCAATTGCACAAATAAAGCATTGTTAGTTTTAGTCTCTATCAACAAATTTGCAGTTCAAACTTCTAATAACTTCAAAACAAGAGGTAGAGTTAAAAACCTGAACAAAGCCTTCTCAGCACCAAGAATCTGAAGAGTTGAAGAAGGGCACTTAGCTAAATTTGTGAGGCTACCGGCATGTGAAATCAAACGAGCACCAACAACTTCACCAATTAAAGAAGCCAAATTTGGTGCAATATCATTCATTTTAGCAACCAAGTAATCATAGAGGTTCCTCCTGTATTCAGATAGGTCCATTACCCTCTGTGCAAATTGCTGGACATTGATCAAGTCCACAGGGGACAAATCCTGTCCTGAAAAATCAAGAGAAAGAAGATATAGATAGAGAATGAAGCAAAAGTTAAATGCAAAAGAATAAGATTTATACCCATGGAGGCTTTGGCAGCTTCCACAATCTCCTTTGCTTTGTCTTCATCTCCAACTATGTCAGTTAAGCCGGGAATCTTGTCTTCAGACAACTTTGACTTGTCCTCAATAAATTTTGAAACTTTAGCATACAGATAATTATCATTTACAATTTTCACCAGCTCAGGAAAATGCCATGAATACCACTCTCTGCATGTAATTGATGATCCAGTAGAGAAAAAGAATTCTTCAAGTTTATCAATTCTCTTGAAGGAAGTAAACTAATTCTAATATTTAATTGTGTAATCAATGTTGAAACATACTACCTGACTCTCATGGAGAATGAATTGATATCCTTATCAAGTGTATCAAGAAGAAAGATAGCTTGAATGACCATATTATCAACTCGATTAACGTTGAATTTCACCTTTGCTCTGCTGTAACTGTGCCCCAAACCAAGTTGTGCCTTTTCCAAATCTCCAGACTGTGGAATTCAAGTGGGACAAAATAGTAAAATGAATGAGAAAAATGTATTTTCAGTAGTAAATGGGTATCCTGCATGCAGAAATACAAAAGGACACATGAGTAAATGCTAACCTTGAGATCACTGACAAACCTATCAAAATGGAACCGCACACCACGAAGAAGTTCACTCACAAACTCATTACTTTGGCACGGAATTTTAGTCACTTCAGATATCTGCGAACCAATCTTAGGATCAGATACTCCTAAACTGAACTTGGACTTCTTACCTTCCTTGACTTTAGGCAAGTTAGTCTCCAAAACAGTCCTTAACTCATCAGTTAATAGTCCTGAACATCCAAAACAAAACAACAAATCTTTGAGCAACGAACAAAAGTGGAAGAAGAAAATCCAAGTTTAAAAAAAAACACCACAACATCAAACCCAACCAAGTTCCTTGACAAAGTCAAAACTATTGCAATTTCTCGGAAAAACAAAAACACCTCAACTAAGATCCACGGATTATTTAAATGTCTTACCAGCCATCAACTAGGACTTCATAAACTTTAATTTATGATATCACACGTTAGCAAACATTTGAAACAAGCAACCACATAGCTACAAAAGAAACACACAAGCTTTCCTTGAGCGCGCGCGCGCGCACACACACACACGTAGTTCCATGGAAAGGCACGCAGAGAATAACAATGTAAAGAAACTGATTCGTTGGATGAGAGGGTTACCTTCAGAGATGGCATTGCACTGCTTCAGGGCATCAAGAGCAGACGTGAAAGGATTGAAAGAGCGAAGCTTGACGACTTTGCCGAACCGGTTCAAGTCCCAAACCGAGTTCCGAACCGCTTCAGTGTTCTGTCCGATTTCGTCGAGGCCATGAGCCTCGAACAGCGCGTATCCCGAAGCGGATTCGTAGAGAAGGAACAACGCCATTGATGTCTCAACTCAGTCAAAACCCTAAAACAGAGATAGAGAAAAAGAAAACAGCATTTGAAGGAAGCTGCTGCTGCCTAAAGGGTATTGGTGCCAAGGTTTAGGGTTTAAGAAAAGAAAAGGACTAAAATGGTATATGGTTCGTACGCCGGGTAGGAGCGGAAAGCAGGATTATGGGTCGGGTTGTAATACCCAACAAAAAGCGGCTTTTTTTTGCCCACATAGGGTTAATGGAGAAACAATATCTCCTTCTCCGGGTTGTTTGGTAAGAAATTTGCTGTCTGGGGTAATTTACGGAGTGTTGTAAGAAATGGTGACGATACAGTAGTAAATATTATCAATGAAAATGTCAACACTAATTGAAAATTATGCCAAGTGACACATGTGTCTGCTGGCAGTGGTCCGACACATGTGTCGGTTATGTTTTTGGCAACACTTATGTGTTGACTGAAAGAATGGCGACACTCACTCTGTGTCGGTTGGTTTGACGCCGATACATATCTCGTTCACTCTTTCACCCAATGGACAAAACAAAAGACATGCTTTTATCTAAAAGTCTTTATCCAATTAAGATGTATATATATTACGAGACGAATATGTATCGATTGTAAACATTTGAAGCAAGGTCTGGTAAAAGAAATTACAGGTTAGAATGTTATTAATTTATTGTTTTAAATTTTTTAATTATTACAAATAAGTTTGAATTAATAATTTTAATATTATTATAAATAGATGAAATTAAAAATATTTGTAGGAATTAATTAAATTATTTAATGTTAATATAATATTATTAAAAATATGAATGTAAATTTTTTTTTATTTTAATTTTTTTGTAATATTTTTTATTACTATTTGTTTAGTAAATTTTTGTAATAATTTTGGCTGTATTTTTTAATTTGATACACATGATGACTGAAATTGTGGTTATTTTATACTGGGATGGAAGAATGTACGAAGGAAATGAGAGTATCATATTTGAAGGGAATAAGAAAATGATTAAAATAGAACATGAAATTACTTATCAGATGTTGAAAAAAAAATACATACAAAATTGAGATTATGCAATAGTAATGTAATTTCTAAACTGATTTCACGAATTTTAGTTGATTCAATTAGTGAAAATTACACAATTTTAGATGTATGTGATGATGAAGACATTGACTGTATGATAAGTGCTTATCAAGAACAACATCAGTTGAGTTATATGTGGATATTGCGGTTGGTGAAACTTTTCATGTAGGTGAAACTTTGTTACGTTTAAATTTATCACTCCCAACTATTAATGTTAGTGACAATGAAGAAGAGTATGCAATTGGAGGAGGTAATGTATTATATTTATTTAAATTATATGATGTTTAAAATTTTATAATTTATTAATAAATATTTGTTGCTGCATCTACAGATGAAGAAGATGAGTACGATGATGACTATAAAGATGAAGGAGAAATTCCTTTAGATAGTTCTTCTGATACTGATTTGGAAGATGCCTTCGATTCAATGATGAATATTTCAAACACTGGAAGAAATAACGATATGCAAGGACAATCCACAGGTATAATTTTATATAATACAATAATTGTAAAATATTTGTAACTAACATTAGTTAAGTTTAATACAGATTCTATAACACTCTTTTAGAATATAAGTTCACACTACACTGCTATTAATTGGGATCATCCTGATCAAGAATTGGGTTTTTCTGAGTTGTATTCGTCACAATCATGGGTACAATGAGATGCATTATATGTTGAACAACTATTTGACTCTAAAGAGGAGGTAAAAATGACGATAAAATATTATGCAATGAAGAAACATCAAATATTTTTTGTGGTTGAGTCAAAAGTATCAACTCATTTTGTCAAGTGTGTGAATCATAATTCTAGATGTCCTTGGAAAGTAAGAGCATTGCTACCCAAAAATTCAAATAAGTGAAAAATTACCAGATGAGGTGGTATGCATACCTACGTAAATACTATGATTTCTCAAGACCACAAAAAGTTAGATTCAAATTTTATTTGTTCATGCATTATTAGTACGTGAAACTCAATTGAGATTATATTTATTTATCTATTTAAAATGATTTTGATATGATCATTAGCTGAAAAATTTATTTGTTCATGCATTATTTCCCAATAAATCTTCAACGATTTATGCTCTGTCACCTCCTATAGGGGCAATAACTGGTCTTCCATCAATACAAAGACCCAACTGAATAGCAATATCTTGAAGAGTAATAATACACTCTCTAAGAGGCATGTGAAAGGTATGGGTCTCTGGCCTCTATCTTTCTACCAACGCTGTAATCAATTGGCGGTCAATAGGAATACTAGCCAACTGTGCTACTCCAGCAAATCCTGCTACTGTCAAATGAGGAATAATCTCTACTGGCACTCCCTCCATGCCAACATGTACGAAATGACCTATTCTCACTCTCAATATTGGGTGTTCACAACCATTCCAAATATGTTATGAAACGTGAATAGACTGATATCGCAATAATGAACCATCCTCAGGCTGGGATTTAACACCCTACTACGAGACGAAGATGATGCCATCTGAAATCTATATAAACAAGTAAACTATAAACTTCAAATCTACAATATAAGTAACAAAATTTAATAAAAACAATTTTATTTTACTATTAAACAATTTGTACCTTAAAATATACTCTATCAAACTAAATTTACCTACAATTAGTACATTTACAGCATATGTTCCAATAATAGATTACAACAAAATTTATATTTTCAAAATATCATTATAAAAAATTTAACCTATAAATTCTTACTAATGTATTTAAATCTTTTTTCACTTGAATAAAATTACAAATTTATTATTATTCATCAAAATCATATAAATAACTACAAACTTTTTAAAATATTCAAATGTCTAAATTAATAATTAATCGAATATTTTTATTTTCAGTCATTTATATTTTAAAATAATATTTTCAATAAAATGTTAATTAAAATTTTATATATTCATCTTTTTTTCACTTAATTCCTTATTCTTTTACCCTAATTTTTTTCTCAAATTAAACCAATTTATAATTAAGTGATGAATAACTATATTTTTATCTTTCACAATTTTAAATTATTTACTATTTCTTAATTACATGACATAATATTTATTAAAAATTATTACAAATTTAACAACTGCAGATTTTTAATAATATAATTTTTTTAATTATACTATATTTCATTCTTGTTATTTCTATTTTATTTTGTTATAATTATTTTTACATTTTATTAACCTTATAATAATAATCACACATAATTCTTCCTCATATATTTATCTAATTTAATTCTTTTATATTTGTCAATTAATTTATATTTATATTTTTTCTAATTTTATTATTTTGTTATTTTAACATAATAATATTTGTATAACAATAATAATATCATCATTATTTTTACTTTTAAATACAGTTTTCTACATAAATAACAATAAAATTATATATTTTAATTTAAATATTTTCTTATTTATCTATTTTCGTATTTTCGTATTTTTCTATTTTTCTATTTTTTACATACATAAAATTAGTATATAAATTTTTGCTAACCTTTGAGCTGAGAATCTGGACCACCCTGGATCATGCTGGACCACACCCAAAGTCCCTTTCGCAAGTTGCAATCTTCCTGAAATGGGAACAAAAAATGTATGCAACAAATTATATTTTCTTCAAACAAAATTCATATTTCTATCTAATATACAAAACAATCTTTTATTCTTACCTTTCAAAGTTTTAAAAATGCCAAAACCGTTTGCCCCTTCTTCTACGTTTTCATTTTGCCAAAATTTTTAAAATTTTACAGTTGCACAATGAAGAAGATGAACAACACAACAGAAGCAGGAGAGATGGAGGGACGAGCGGTGTTACTCCTGCAAGATTGCCACGTGGACCAATAGGCATGTATCGGTCCTGAACATGCCGACACTGATGTCGTTAAACACAGTTCCGACACTAAAGTTGGATCCAAGCCGTCCGACACACTGGAGAACTTCCACGTGTCTAGTTTGCAGCCGTAGATCAGTGTTATAAAAATTTGTCTGTTAAAATTTTTTAAAGTGTCAATTTTAAGTTTGACGACATTATTAATTTTAAAAAAAAAAATTATTTCCTGTGTTGGCCATGTATCTTCCGACACTGCTTCCATCTGTCATTCCCCACCCTAGACACATAATTTGTTATGAAAGAGCCCCATATGGAGAATTTGTTTCTCCATTAACCCTATACAGGCAAAAAACCCACAAAAAGCAAAATGGTAACTACTTTTAGTTTATCGGTTTGGATAGTTTGAACCCGAACCAAATTGTATCTGTTTTAACAAATTTTGATCCGGATATTTTTATTTTATTTTTTTATTACCTTTGATGGGGTTTAACTCATAAGATTGATCTGAATTTTTTGAAGTGTTTTTTTCTTGAGTGATGAGTAAAATTCTAACCTAGTCCCTAATGCTTGTAATTAACTTTAAATTAGTTTTAATATTTTTAAACTCTTAAACTTTGCTCCCATTGATCATATTCGTGCTTGTTATTACTCCCGCTTAATTCATGCAAATGTATAAACTTATTTGGTATGTTATGCACTCTGTGTCGTCTTAAGTAAATTTTTCGATTATACTATTTTTGAAAATCAGTTTAACTTAAAATAGTTCACAAATTTTTAATAATATAGAAGTAAATTATGTGTTTTGCCGTTGATTATTGATTAGTATTTTATATTCTCTCATGGATTAGATCTACGAAAACACACAATGAATATGTTATGGCTAATAATATGTTTGGAATCGCAATTTAAAAATTTTAAATCATGTTAACATAAAAGTTATAGTTTGTAGTATTTTTAAAATAAATGTAAAATATTCGTAGTCAATCAAACGTAATATAACTAAGCTAGCAATGAGATTGAAGTTGAAATGCAATAAAATTAAAAACATACAAAAGCAAAGGAATGAAAAGTTGATACACTCAAACTAATATTTAACTTTGTTAAAGGATAGTAAAACTCACTTGATTATAAAGTTTGAAAATTATATATATACACCAATGCTTTATTATACAAAAAATGTGACCCAAAATTATTGATTGTCCAAAATCTTGATTGGGAAGAATGGATTGTCTTTCTTTACTTCATGAATGGAATAAAATCTTAGCGGCTGCTACTCATATTTGACATTAAAAGTTTTTTCGTTTATCATTTTAATTGTCAACCACATGGACACGCTGTTTATTTGGAGGTATACAAAAGATCGAATAAAATTGTATGACAAACTTTATTATAAAAAAATGTAGATTAAGTGTACAAAATATTTTATCAACGTATATGAAGTAATGGAGAAAAATTTAAAATGAAACTAATGCTTACGGATTGTTTGTTGACGGCTTTGTTAGTGAGCTTGATAATGTGACAGGTTAGAACACAAACGTGGTAAGACTAACAATGACAGGTTTGGTTGTGCATTGTAAACATACCATACACTTTTCAGCTAACACAACTCTTCATAGCGTCGAAGATAGACACACGTTTTTGTTCAAAGCAACACATAACCAAACATATGCTTAAAGAAATATGTTTTATGTTGAGGTTTCTTATACGATTTCCATGTACTTGTAGGCTGAGAAAAAAAAAACTAAGCATCTTTGAACTTAATGGAGCACAAATATGATCTCGTTAATGATTAAAAAAAAAAGTAAAAATATTGAAAAAATGTTAATTACATAAAATTTAAAATGCAATTAAGATGCGATTGCACAATTTTTTAAGGATGACTCTATTTGTTGTTTTTCACATTAAATATAGCAGGGCCATGATGTTTGTAATGCTCAAAGTGCACACTTGCATATTAATAATAGCAACATTTTAGCTTCCACATTAAATTTGACTTAGCTGTCGTGATTATAATGCTATTTCACCCTATCACGCAACGCAACACAACGCAAAGAACCTCAATAAAGCCAGCAGAATAAAAATCAACCAAAAATAATACTAAAGATACACTCTTTTGAACACTTTTTAGCACCTTTTTTGCATATAATTAATCTATTTTTTAAATTATTAAAAATCAATCGAATTGAAATAATTTTAAAAAAATATCGATTTAAGTGGTAATATTTTAATATTTTAAAATTATAAACCAATTATAAGGAATATATTAAAAGGCATATTTCTATATTCCTCATTAACGAAATAGTCATGCCACTAGAATACAAATTGGGTATCATTGAATTTCAACATTGTACTGACCAAACAGCTCTACTAAATAGGTAGATAACTACAATATATAAATAAATATTCTGTATGTATCTTTAGACGTAAGTTAACCTCTTTTCTCTTTTATTATTATATTGATTGATCCAAAAACTATTATAGCCATCGAGTTATACGTCGGCAATGGCAAGTGGAAACAATACTTGCACTTTTCCCTGTCGTACGTGGCCAAAATGCAAAATACATGGCTGTTTCACGGCACCCAAGACGTGCCAATAATAAAAATAATGAAATTAAAATGATAAATAACGAAATAAATTTATTTTGGTCTCGTTTACATAATATTAACCCTTCATTATCATTATAATAAAATAGTTTTCAATGTCAAACAATGGCATCAAAATGAACCTGAAAGTGCTGCCATTTGGTGGAGGGCTGCCTTTTGAGGTGGGGAATAGATAATCCCCTGAACCAGCATAGTCTCCCTCATTAACTTATGTTAATGTAAAATGCCAATGCTTTTATGCTGTCTATCTCCTCACGAAACTATGGACCTTCAATGATGGAGTCCAAGATTGAAAGAGTTATGCAACTGAAGGATTATCTTTCCTGAGACCATGCTCAGAAATATATCCAATCATTGGAAAACTCCTGAAAATTATCTTGTCTAGTTCATCATCGCCTTTGCAATCATTTTGTTGCTAACGCCTCATTATCAGGCAGAATCCTTTTCATGTCCTCAAGATATGGCCATTTTTTCTTGCTCTTCTTCTCATTCTTAACCTCCTGCTTTGAAAAACATGAAGATGTTAAATCATTGAAATAGTAGCTATCTCATTTAAAAAACATAGAGATGTTCCACCTTTGATTTGAATTGAAGTATTTTATAAATATAATTAACTTAAAATAAATGGTGGACAGACTTTCACTTTCTCATTTTACACATTTCCTCACCTTGGAGAAGCCAAATCTGTACTAGTTGTTCACTTGTATTATGGGCTGTGTACAACACAACCCTTTCTATTAAGGCACTCAGACGTTGTGTGTAAGTTCACTCATAGTAATTAGAGTTTCTCTCAAAATCCTTGCTTTCTCTATAGTCTATAATCAATATGTTATCCTCTTTCTTTGTTGAACATTCTTTGGAACGTCGAGTCTATGAGAAAATTCAATAAAAATAGAGTGGGCCTAGAACAAAGATGCTAACAAATATAAAAATGTTAAGATAAATCATGCATGCAATATTTACAATCAGAACAGGAAGCAAATTATAAATGAATGTTGTACTCATACTGAAATTAGTGACATGCTAGCAAATATAACCTACGCTGAAAAATCAACATAATTCTACACCTGTCTGCTTTGTGGATGAGTATTATAAAGAGTTTTAAAAACAATTTAATACAAATTAAAAATGCCAGCAACAATCAGCAGATGGATCTTGTTCCCCTTTCCACAGCATCCAACGTAGAGGCCTACTTAAACATAAATAAGCAGCCAACCAATAAATATGGATGATTATTTCTAGAATTCCAGTGATTGAATCATTTGCCTTATAATATTAACATCAAGTCAATCAGATGAAGAAACAAACCTCATATTTCTGTAACAAGGATGTCCACAGGGATTTACACTGCCCAGGACTTCTGCTGATCCCATCAGCCAACAAGTTCTGAGATATTTCTTCCCAGAGGGCCATCCTTCCCTTCACAACTTGAAATCTGTCATTGAGTTCCCCACGCATACCAATCAGCTTCTTAACTTCCTCATGTTTCCATTTATTTCTCTTTGCTAATTTTGAAGATTTGGCTTTAGAATTTGATGTCTCCACAAAACTGCATTCTTCAGCGTCTTCAGAATCATCTATCTTCAGCTGGGATGACTGCTCCTTTCGAGCAACATAACCATTGTTAGCTTTAATTGACTTCTCAACTGGAGAGGATTCAACAAATGTTTTCCAAAATTCATCTGAATCCTCTGCATCAGACAAATCATCCTCAACACCAGTTGAGACAGCAGCATCATCAGTAGGCAGTAGACCATCCATGTCAATTTGATCTGCATCAATTAATTGAGCTAGGGTGAGAAAAAAGATACATGATATTAAAACAAAATACAGCAGAAGAAATATATCAGTTAAAATTCACTAATATCTCTGCACCAAATATAGTAAAGAAAAAGGAGACACATACTGGTAGTATAAAACCATGGAGGTTCATTGCATCTTGGCAACATTTTTCTAAATAAACAAAAAAAACATTTCAATCATAAATTAATCTGCAGTTTCTTGCCAATTTAAGGAGAAGTAAAATTAGTTGAACAAGAAAACTCCCATAGTGAATTAAGTAGCTAGGTTTTTACGTGAAATCTTTCATAAGTTTCACTCGAGACTAGGTGAATGCAAAAATCTAGGAACACAAGCCAGTAACAAAGAAAAGAGATACCAAGTCAGGCAAGCAATAGTCATCTAATTCTAGAGAGAGATAAGAGACCAACTGTCAACTCAGCTAAAAAATGTTAGCAGACCCCCAATAAAAAAGTTGGGTCAATCTCTGTCAGTTAGTTGCTTGGAACAGTTAGCTAGTTACAGTGCAGCAAGAGATGAAGGGGAATATATAATAGGCTGAAAATGATAGTGATAAGTTTTTGATTTGGCAAAAAATTGTTGAATGCAGACATATTCATTTATCACCCCAAGGACCTATTCATAAGAACTTTACTTTATTCATTTCGTTTTCCTTTTTTATTTATAGGGGCTACAAGCAGTGTTGGTGGGAATAAGGGCAGAACCTTGAGTTGGCTCCAATGGTAGGGGGCTAGTTCATCTAATCCATCTTGGTAATGGTTCACAATCACAGTGATTAGAAGACTTCAACCATCAACGATGTGAACCTTTGAATTGGGCTATAGCCTATAGGGGTTGAAGCAAACATCCACAGTAAAGGAATTTAAAGATAGATTCAAGTTGTATGTTGGTACTGAGGTGCACTGATCAAGACTCCCTCAAAGGTATTTTCTTGAACGAGTTGAAGGAAAAAGTCAGGGCCAACAGAAGTTGTCCCATGTAGAATCTTCTACCACAGAATTTGGATTCTGCTCAGTGAATCAATGAGAAGAAACAAGTACGGAACAAAGGTGGGGTTCCTTGAACAGTATCAAGAAGGATGTTCAGTGATGGATTTTGCAAACAGTTTGGGAACCCAAGGAGGGAGTTCAAAAGACTATTTGATGCAGAATCACAGGAAAGTCAAGAAGGGCTGTGTTTCAGTGTGATGAGAAAAATAATCCAGACCATGAATGAATAAACAATTTCAAGTAATGCTGATGGAGGACTGTTCAGATGATGGAGAAAGTGATGGGTTGCTGCAGGATCATCGACGGAGAATTTTCCAGAACTTCATCCTTGAGGACAGAGTGAAACTTTTAAGAGAGTACCCTAAGAAAACCCTAAAAGAGTCTCAGCCTCAGTTGAAGATGGAAAGATGAGTAGGTATAAATAATAAGAGGGAAACAATAGTGATCAGCTTTGAGATTAGGGAGAGGCCAGGTCTCTCAAATACCTAGCTAGTGTAGGAGAGAAGCCTGGCCTCTCATATTCTGCATTCCTATTGTTCTATACTATTTCTCAATCTCTGTTTTAGTATCCTAATACATATTCAGCAATTGCTTGATCTATCAATAAAAACACTGCATGCAAACATACATATAACATCACCTATTCACCTTTATATAACAAACAAAAAGTCAACCAACCAGTCATCAACAATTCTATATTTATTCTTCAAAAGTACATGGGTGCTACCTCTTGTTTGCATTTTAGTTCTCTGATTTTCTTTCCTGTGTCCATCTGCCACTTTTCTCAATGTCGATACCCCACCCACAAGAGGTTTTCCAGACAACCTTGTATTTATCTCATTAGCAAGAACAGCTGCAGGATTTTCTAGGGCAATGACAATAACTTCGGGCCTTTTGCCACTGTACTTCCGCACCATTTTCCTCAGCACCTCAGACACAATTCTTTCCATGTGAGCCAGTGGACAGTTTACAGGGCAGCTTGAAAGAGCAGCATGAGCTGCTTTATGGAGTGCGTCCAACAGCTTTCCCTTGTCAAGCCACAGGCATCTTGTGGTAATTCTTAATTTTCCTTTTAAGGTGTTTTCAAATGGACTGTCTAAATTTTTAGGGCGAGAGATTTCCATGCTGTAAAGAGATGAACATTAGCATGTTACTAAACCTGTTAAACTTGGCTTAGGCTTAATTTAGGACTTGAAATACTTACCTAACCACAATGATGCCATCTAATGCAATTCTCATTCTTTCATCAATGAAGAGTTCACCGGATGTACCAAATGCTTTGTCACCATCACTGTACATCAACTGCATGAAAGGGGGAAGGGAATCTCAGAATTATAAATTTCTAAAAGAGAGATCACCAGACTTCTTTGAGAACCACCAACCTGCAAATTCTCTTTTCCAAGTGAAATGAAACCATTAGAAAGGACTCTTCTGTTTCTCAAATGAGAAACACCAAGCATCTCTCCATTCTTAATAACCTGGTGCATAAATCTCATCAGTTCCTTGAACATTTTATGCAACAACTCATGGGGCATGTTTATCTAAATCTTGTAAAAGGACACCAGTCTCATGTATCACATCAAAACATTGGATAAGGAGGCAATCACTCACAGTAGTGTGCCGAATGCCAGTTGATTTTCCAAGTAATTCATGCTCCTTCAAGAACAATAGTTCTCCATGTATGGGAAGAAAATGTTGCGGCTTCACAATTCTAAGTACTTCCTCCTGCAGAAATATATGTTGTCTTCTATAATATGTCATGTCAAAGACAAAAACCATGGCATACAAATAGAAGCATATCAAAAGACAAATCTCATATATAACGAAAATGCATCAGGACAAAGTAATTAGTTTGACAAGGCTTGATTCTCCAATTGACATCTTGTCATCTTCACATCTAATAACCAAGTAGAAAAAAGAAGTAAAAGATTAAAAAATTTGAAATGCAACATGTCCACGTCTTTTGAAAATCAAGAACATTCTTTAAATTCTTTTCAGTTTGTAGTACTAAAACAATGATTTGATAATGATGATGTTGCATATCTTGCTTATATTTAACAGACAAAGCTGAGAAAATGAACAAAAAGAAAAATAAAATCATTGATATGCAATAAAAAGCTTACCAATTCTCCACGATACCCATGACCAGATGTATGCAGACATTCATTCTTCCCCATAACAATAGTTGATCCAATCTCTGATATGCGGTTTAGCATTTCCATAACACGAGACTCATTACCAGGGATAACCTAACAGTGATATAAAAAGCAAAGGACAAATTTACAACACACTGATTTTAGATAGAAATTTTAATGATTATTTTATTCTTCAGGTGAAATTTTTTTCAAAAATTAACACAAGCAAAAGATCATGCAGAATAATCAAAAGTTGTTACTAGAATGGATTGAAATTTAAAAGTAAAATCAGTACATTGTAGTAAGATCATACGCTGATATTGGTTCTTTAGCAAAAGGTTCATTTAGTGCATGTTTCGGTTAGCTTATTTTTAAGGAAACGATAATTTTTCTTTGTCAACTTCCCAAATTAGCTTTTAAAAAAAATACAATTATTTCCCAGACTTTAAGCATTCCTAAACAAGCCTTCAGTTATACTAGACAGTAGACACGCATCAGATAAATCAAAAGGCAAAATATTTCGTGCTGAATTTTGTTATCATACCTTAGCTGAGTACAGAACAATATCTTCCTTTGTCAGTTTGAAAGAATGACTACTTCCATACGATGCAAGATTCAAGGCAGCACGTGGTTCTGCCTGACACAATAGCACATATTTGGTCAAATGCCATACACTGATACACATGTGCAAGTCAATGGAACTAGAAAGTTTTTGAAGGGCCTTGAAAGTAACTTACTTGAGAACCTGTTGTTACAATAAGCAGATCCTTTGGAGCATAAGCATCAATATCCTCTGCTTTCACCTACGTAAAATTAGAAATAATTATGAGCAGGTAACAGATATGAGACTGTTGGGTCTAGGCCAATTGGGCCTCCACTCAAGACATATCAAAGGAGAAAGGGTAAAATGGGAAGGGTGGATCAAGAAGCCGTTATGCGAGATTCTAACTGACTAACAAAATTAGCATAGGTGGCAAGGGAGGTACGGGGGGAATATAAGGAGAATGAATAGATGACAAAGGGGGGATTTGGCTGGGAGGTCATTGGGTGGTGGTTGATGCAGTGGGAGGGTCTTTAGTTAATTGCTGTATTCTGTTTTCCATTTTTATAGTTCCTTGGCTCTGTTTTTTCTATTATAGCAGCTTGTAATTCCATGGATCCTCCCTGTGTGAGCCCTTTAATTTCAATCGAATACTCAGTTCCTAACAGAGACTTACAGAATCTCTTACAAAAATGAGGATATATAGTTGCCATCAAATCTTAGAAACACAGATAGTAACAAATGGTGGAAACATAAAAATAAACCCAACAAATAACTATCTGAACAAATGGAAAAACTAATCAGATACAAAATAACTGCATTCATGCTTTCCAAAGTCACATCTAAATATTATCTTGAAATTTAAACAAATAATTAAAATTGAAAAATGTCAAAGATCCACTTGACCTAAAAGTTCAAGCTGGTATGCAAGATTCAACTAGATTAGAGAGAATACAAAAACTAACTGCCGGTGAAGTAGTAGAAGAAAGGTCAACTACACCCAAGAGATGGCAAAATAAACCGTTTTGAAAAAAATATAACCTCATAAAGGCAAAGGAAAATTCACAATTGGTTATTTGCCTACTTCCACTGAATATGCTCCAACAACCTAATCAATAATATAATACAATCTAATCAGCACAAGACTTCTCCAACCTCCAGTTTTCATCTGCCAATCACTTAAAATCTTTACGTTAACATTATGAAAAAAAAAAAAAAAGAGTTATAGAGATGAAGTTCAATTATCAAATACATCAAATTAGGCAGAACAGAATGATAGAAAAAGTCTCCCAATGTGTATTACCAGAGTAGATGGATCAATTGGAGCCTTTCCATCCTTCCAAGCTGCATCCAAATATGTTCTTAAAGACATGCCAACAAATACCTGACAGAATAGTCATGAAATTATTATGCTATTGTAAATTGAAGTATATGTGCAAGTGAGAACTATGAACATACCAACTTTCTGCCAGTTAAATCAGCAGCAGCTTTCACACTTCCAAGACGATGTATATTTGATGCAAACTGGGTTGTTATAACCCTTCCTTTAGCAGCTGAAATATGCCTTAATAATGCATCTGCCACAAGAGATTCGCTGATTGTCCTTCCAGGTGAGAGTACATTTGTTGAATCACTCATCATCTGAAAAGTAATGCCCAAAGCACAGTTTGATTCTATCCTTTGTCTACATTGAAGAAAAAGAAGAGGAATGGCTACATATTTTGCTATAACCAGGTGCACAGTAAAAAAATAACAAGAAACGAGACAGTTTTATGTGCACATTCGGCCTACAACAAACTGCAGACCTACATCTGTGGGCAAAAATTGAGAGAAAATTCTATATAATCAATGAACATTACAAGGAGAAGCAACTCAACACTGAAACCCAAATCACAATACAGTCACTACAAATGCAGTGCTTCCCTATTGGCCTAACCTCTCCACTTCCACCACTATATCTCCATGAAAATTCCTTGTCAGGTCAGGTCATGCCCAAATTTTAAAAAATATGAGTATGTTGGGTACTCATCATGTGGGAAATATGAGTATGGAATAGAAAAGGAATTTGGTTGTAACAACCTTGCATATGCGTGTAAGGGAAGAAAATTTGGGGTGGGTTGGGGGGGGGGGAGAGAGGAGGGAGAAAAGCAATCATTGAGGGAGTTTTGGGGCCTTAGGGCAGGGAGGTGCAGACCCCTTAAGTTCTTCAAGGTTCTAGCATTTGTTTTTTGGTTTTGTGAGTCATTCTCCCTATTTTTCCATCACAAATATTAGTTCCAATCATGACATATTTAAATTCAATAAAACAATTGAACTGCTGGTTGATGTAGCTCAACTGGTATCCTTGAAAAAAATAAACAATAGAAACTTTCTATGCAAATTACCAAAAATACTACAACTTGAAACATTAAAAAAAAAAATCAGAAAGATGTTACCCATTTAAGCATATTTATTAGCATAAGACTGATCATGAAAGCTGGATTCACCTTGAAAGGGACTAATTATGTAACACACAGAGAAACATAACAAGAAGTCAAAGATACAGGTGACTCACCAATGTGACTCCTTCTTTAGAGAGTTCCTCAAGAGCTTCACGATCAAAAACTTTACCATCTAATGGTGTTTCATCGATCTATTGAATCAACTAGTTCAGTGACAAGCGATTCAAGGCAGAGGAAAGGAGCAATGCATTGAAAAACAAAGTAAATTTTAACCTTCCAATCCCCAGTGTGAAGAATGGTACCATCAGAACAGCGAAGCACTAATCCACAGCAATCAGGAATAGAATGAGTCACTGTGATAGGCTCTATCTCAAATGGACCAGCCACAAACTTTTTCCTTGTTCTAAATACTTTGAGTCGGGATGGAACAAAAATACCATGATCCTTCAAACGTTTCCTTATAAGCTGTAAAGAAAAATTTTCACCTTCTCTGAATTGCAATGAACAAAATGAGCAATGAAAAGAACAATAGAACTTTGATGACAAAACTGTGCCACAATTTTCATACAATAAATATTAATATGGTGACAAAAAATCAAGAGTGCAAGAATAGTCAGTCAACTTCAAGTGCAAGATATGGTAATACTAACATCCAAGTCCAACCACTTCTAATGAACACTATTATTGATATCCATACAGGGAAACCAATGAAATGTAGCACTTTACGAATGAGGTAACAAGACTATAAAAGACTTATTCTTACCTCCATTGTAAAGGATGATGCAAAAATTGGGGTTCGAGAATCTAATGCTGGGATGACCTGACGAACCAAGAAAAAGCTATAGTAAGAGCAGATGTAAGGAAATGGCAAATACATTTTTTAATAAAAGAATAATTAATTAAATTAAATGTTAGAAAAAAAAATAGAGTATTAGCAAACATACAGTAAGACCGAAATACTTTAATATAAAAGAATAACTCATTAGATTCTAAAAGAAATAAAAACATGGAGGACTGAAGCAATCCTATTCCACAAAAGATTTGTAAATATGTTTATTTCAAGTTTCTGTTAGTCTTACGTGGTTTCCCAGGCAAGGAAGACAAACAGCCACGCATAGTAAAAGGATGTACAATAACCCATTACGTTAACATACGTGAAAGCCCGTAAAAGATTACACTATGAATAGCTAGTAAATAAATCCATGAGCCCTAGTTAGTCTTCAAGGCTGCTACAAATCAGAAGATAATTGGAGAACTAATCTACTTGATGCTGGGTCTTTCTCAAACCCCATTGCATTAACTTTAATCATAGAAGTAAAGGCACCAGATATTTATTCATTCATCAAACTGACAGTGCATCTTTAATTCAGTCTCAGTTTATTAGGGCAGAATGCATAAAAAATGAACATTATGCATCAACACTGGACATTATATCCCATTACAAATACTCAAATAGATTTAATGGAATCTGTCAAAGAGAACTAGTTAACAAAAGAGTATTTTTCAAGCCAGCAGTTCCTAGGAAAAGGAAGCATTACCCATGGCAATGCACCAATATGATCTTCATGACCATGTGTTATAACGACTGCTTCAATTTTGTGGCTCCACTTTCTTATAAATGTTGTATCAGGTATGATCTTTTGAACCCCAAGCTCATCATAGCTGAAATACGTAGTCCACATATAAATCAAGGTTAGTTAACCAATAAAGAAAATGAAATCAGAGCCAACAAAAATCACGTAGTTGCAACTTGACTGTGACTTTAAAATTGGATTTAAATTTTTTTAATGGTGTTCATATAGAATAAACTATCTGCTCTCAACTGCATGATGCAATGCCAACTTTGGTTAGTAAAATTTTAAATTCTTTAATAAGAAAATGCCTACACATCAGTTCAAGCTTACTCAGTGAGCAAGTATGACTGATAAACAGTTAAACACGCAGAAGAGGATGAGTAGTTGGACTTGTAAGACCTACTCTGGAAACATGACACCGGCATCAATGAGGATATAGCGATCATAGTTGCCAACAAGCATGCAATTCATCCCAATTTCACCCAACCCACCAATAGGAAGAACTCGGAGGGGTGGCCCATCCCGTCCTTCATAAAACTCCTCCATCTTACGTTGAACAGAGTCTTCCATGCTTTTTTTAGGACCTTCTATTTTTCTTGATCTTTTCCGCAGCACTTTAGATCCATCAGTATCTACACGAACCAACCAGTATAAACAAAACTAAGATAAATAATAAATAATAAATAACCAGGCATAAAATTAAAATTACAGGTGAAACAAAAGAAAGACAATATTCAAATAATTGTCATTTCAGTTAAAGGAATAGTAAAAGAAAAACGAAACCAAACTACGATTTAAGCCACATCTATACACAGTGATGCCGGCAGTAAAATTCGTTCATGCAAGAGGCACGGACTCACTCACTCCAATCAAAGTCTAAAAACCAATTACTAACACATATTACATATCATAAACCCTTTCAAAAGTGCCAATATTAAACTTCATTCCTTCAAAGCTCTCATTTCGCACATTCTTTAAAAATCCAAGTTAAAAACCATCAGAGAACCATGAATGCAATTACAAATACGAAATATCCAGTTCCAAACGGCGAAAACCTTAATTAGCAAATTACTGAACAAAAACAGCGAGCAGTAAGTTCAAGTTCGTTCAAAGAAAAAAAACGAAGAAGAAGAAAGGAAATGGATTACCTGAGAGGACAGAAGAGGAAAAAGAGCAAGTAAGGGAACGGCGTGTAGGGTAAGGGCGGTGCCGGCAACAGAACGCGTGAGGACAAAGGGAAAGAAAAGTACAAGTAGCCATTCTCGTATGAATGGCCTAAGAGAGAAGGAAAAAAGCGAATGCCTCGGACTCAGAATCAGAGACTGCAACTTTGAAAGACGGAAACCCTAATATTTAGGGGTTTTGCAAGCAACTGAGGAGCTTCTTGTGCTTTTGCTCCAACTTCAGCTTAGAAGCGGGAAAGAGATAGTCGCTCACTTGCTGGGTTCAGAAATATCTTTCTTATCCCTATAGTTTTCCCCAGCGTTAGCGACACACAGGACAATATCGAACGTGTCTGGCAGCAAAATATTTTAGCACCACACGTGTGGCAAATTAATCTGTCCTATCTTTGAATCCCATAAAACCATAAGCAACCTGTACCTTTCTTATTTGTAATTTCCACGATCAGTATAAAATACATGACTAAGACTGTCTGAATATTAAAAAAAAAATGGAGTTAAAAGAATAAATCTTGATTTATAAGTAATTTTAACTGAGTTTTATTGAAGTGAAAAAACATTCAATTACAATTAATGGAGTTGCAATGAATAAAGAAACATACTTTAAATTTTTCATAAAATTTACAAAAGCATCTCCTTATGAGGAATTTAAAGTTAAAAAAAATTAACAGTAAAAATAAATTTTCAATGATAAAAGTTGTTGCTCAACAACTAATTCATCGTACAAAAACATCCCATCTTTTTATTCATACTTTTTAAAAAAAATAATAATCATATAGCTACTTAAAACGTAAACTGCAATATATCATACATAAAATTTATGAACAAGCTAAACTATAAATTCATATATATTCTTTTTAATTTCATTTCACATCCATAATCTCAAGACACTGTAGTGCCGTTTAATATGTGATTGCCCACAAAGAACTTGTTATGTGTAATGGTATGAGTTCATTCCATTGTCAAGGCATTTCTTTGGCCGACCCCAACATGTCTTAAATTAATTGATTTGAATCAGACTTTCGTGCTTGTTCATGACATGTTACTATTTGATTGCTTGGCATTCATAATATATAGTGATTTAGTTTTAATAAAAGTAAAATTGATATTTCTTTTTTATTGACATAAACTATCATAAGAAAGTCGTGTCATGAACGATGTATGTAAGTTTTTTTAAGTCATGACCTTCCACTATTCAACTTCATTGCATACCAAATTTAGATTTCAACCTTCTAATTTCACGTGTCATATGTCTTGTGGTGCATCTCTATCATGTTTTGAAGTAATTATGGAAAATGTCTTCAATCTATGTATTAGAAAACTCACAACAATAACGCATCAAGGAACAGGTGCAACAAAAACTATGGAAAGAAAATTATATTGGTTATTATCTCTACAAATCCGTTTAAAGCTATAATTACTATTATTTTTTTCTAGTAACATTGTTTTATTCTTTTGAATTTAGTTTCTGAAATTATGAAAAAAATATAAAATAGTTAAAAATAGATCATTTTAGTTATTAAATAATGAAAATTAGTCTTTTGAATATAAAATTTCAAAATAAAACATTTTAGTCTCTAAAATTATAAAAAATAAATTTTAATGTATAAATTATACGAAGTGAATTATTACAATTTTTGTGATTATAAACACCGCCTAATATAGTCCCTAAAATTATAATTATTGTTCAATCTAGCCTTTTAATTAATAGTATATTTTTTTACCGCTAAGAAAACACTAATTTTGTGTGTTCAAAAAACTTTTAGAATGAAATTAAAGTAAAAGAGATATTAAAGCCAACAATCGCATTCTTTTTTATATTTAAAAAAAAATGTGATAAAATAAAAAAATGTGCTATTTAGTAGTATGGTTAGTTATACAAGTATCACTGCTAAAAAGATTTCTATATCTTCTTTTTACAAAAGCTAATAACCGATCTAATATAAAATATAGTGACTCTTTAAAAATAACAAACAAATTTTAAGACCTGTTATTATAAAAATACCTTCTATATTAATTAAAATAAAAAATGCAAAATTTATGACTTTTAGGTGAGTTAATTTTTTAATAATAAAAAATGTATTAATTAAAGCCTACAAATTATTTTAATACATTTTAATAGACTTTTTTTTACAAAAAAATTGAAGCATAAAATCATTAAAAACACTAAAAAATACCAAAAATAAAAAAAGGTCAAAGTGTTAAAATTTTGTTTTTAAAGTTCAAAATCTCTCTAAAACTTTATGAAATAAACATATAATTTATATAAATAAGATTTATGTGTTAAAAATTAAGCTTCTTCAAACTTTATAATTATAAAGGTGATAAATTATAAAATTTTTATATCAATTTTTAAGTAAGTAATGTGAAAAGTACTTTACACAATAATTATTTTTAATCAATATAAAAAAATTAAATATAACTTATTACATCAATTATTTTTTAAACAAATGTAATTTTTTATATTTTTTTATAAATAGTAAAAAATAATTTCAAATGTAATATTTTAACACATGTAAGTAAAATAACATAAATTAAAAGGTGACAAATATAAACTTTTTCAACTTATGTTAGTATCTTTTGTTATACTATTATAAACATAAATTCTTACTTATGTTTAAATACATTAATGATGATAATAAATTTTGCTTTATTTTTTATTAACCTATTTATTTTGATATATAACATTAATGAACATTGCATGTTTATTATTTATAATTTTAACAAATATTAACTACATTGATAAATATTAATAATATTGACAAATTACTTACTAAATTATTGAAAAAATATTGATTATTGATGAATATTGACAGCAAGAATACTTTATAAATCAATTGTTTTATAATCAATGTAAAAAATTGTGACTTATTATATCAATTATATTTATATTGGTTCTTTAATTAGTGTCAAATGTCAATTTTAACCATATTAAAAGTAATTTTTACACTAATATATCGTATTAACATTCAATTCATCATATATAACATGCTATTAGACAAATATAACAAAAATTAGTGATGAGAATAATTTTTTTTATATACAATCTTCTAAATTTAGATGTTTTTATCATAATTTAAAGATGAAATTAATAAATGCTTACCGACGAGCATATAAATTAATTAGTAGGAGGTTAAATACTCAGAAAAAAAATTGCTGTCTATATTATTATTATCCAACTCAAATAATATTACTAGTGGATGATACATGCGATTAAAAAAATTAATAAATACCTATATTTAAGAGAACAAAATTATTTCAAATATTAAATCGAAGAATACTAATAATTTTATAGATTAAATTAAATAGCACTTATAATTTTAGGTATTAAATTGACTAATGTCTATACTTTTAATTATTAAAATTATTGTTTTGTTATAATTTTAAGCAACAAGTATTGTTTTTTATATGAATTAAATAAATATTTATAATTTTAAGAACTATATAAGTTGGAGTTTTGTTGCAACTTGCAAGATGCAAGTTATAAAACCTAACAAAACAAAAAAATTGACAAAAAAACAAATTCACAACAGGGTATAACATTTCAACTATGTTCAAAATATTAAATACTAAGTATATTTAACTAAATTATATAGACTAATAGAAATAGGTAAAATTAGTTATTTTTTATTTTAAATATAATATAACACTTTTATCTTCGTTCAACACTGTTGAACACAGTTCAATTATTAGTTTTTACATTTCATAGTTTTAATTCAGGTTTTTACTAATTTTATTTATTAAGAATAAAAAAATATATATAACAAATATTTCTTAAAAACTCAAAAGTGCCTTATAAAATGGAACACTATAAAGATTCTAAAAGATGCTTTATAAAAAGATCAACGGGAATATTAAATAGCTTACTAAGTTTTTTTATCAAGGGTTTGTCTTTAGTTCCTAAAAAATATAAAGCTCTATAGTTTTTTTTTCCTTAAATACTAAAATACTAAAATTAATCTATGCAATTCATCGTTTATTTTTTTCTTTAGATATAATTTATTAATTAACTCACAAATAATTTATATCTAGACACTGTAACAAATTAAAAAAATATTATTATATATAATTTATTTAAAATTATATTATTTTAGTTATTTGCTACATAGTTCTATTATATATATATATATATATATATATATATATATATATATTTATTGTATATTGAAGTTTTTATTTTATTTTTCTATTATTTTTTTATAAATTTTTAATTTTAAATAAAATATAATTTATATTTAAGTAATTTTTATTTATTATAAATAATATATTAATTTAATAATTAAATATTAATAATAATAAATTTAAGAATCTAAAAAATATATTAATATAATATTAATATTTTATTTTTAAGTTTTAATTTATTTAGTTTTAACTTAAATACTCTTTAATTTATTCAAATATAATAAATATAATAATTTATTATTAAATTATTATTTAAACATGTATCTAAATATTATTAGTTAAAAAAAAATTTATATAATATCCTGAAAATTTTTTATGGATACCACATAATTTATCATTAAAAAAATGTAGTCACGTTTCATTTTTTAAATTGAAGGGCAAGATATTAAAACAATTAAAATATGTTTCTTAAAAACAAAAAAAAAATGTGTAAAAAATATAAAATAAGAGATTAAAGTATATATTTTATTTAAATATCAATATAGTCTATACTAAAGTTTATAATTTTTATTAAAATAATTATATATTTGTCCCTTTAATAAAATGCAATTTGATATTATTTAAATGTTATTAATTATAAAAATTAATAGTCAATAAAAATGATTTAGAACTATCCAAAATGTCTTATTATTATAAGGGAGTTGTGGAAGTGGTGGAGGAAGCATGAAAAAAAGAGATTACCCTTCCATGGGCTGCCCAAAGAGCTAGCCAGAGGTTGAGTAATGTTAAGATTGCATTGAAAAAATGGAATATTGAGGTATTTGAAAATGTTGATAAGATGATCTCTGATTTGACAACTGAGTTGAGTTTGATTGATGATAAAAATTATGTGATGAAACTTTTTAATGGGAAGAAGGAGCGTCAACAGATATTAGTGGGGGATATTTGGAAGGGTAGGAAGAATAGGGAGAGTCTCATAGCCCAAAAAGCTCGGGTGAGATGGGGGAAGGAAGGTGATTTAAATAGAAAATTCTTTCATTTGTGTGTTAATGGGAGGAGGCGACGAAATAATATACATGCGCTTCAAATTGGAGAGAGATGTGTCGAAGAGGTTGATGAGATTAAAGTAGGTGTAGTGTCCTATTTTGCAGCTCATTTTAGTAGTAGAGGTTGGCTTCGACCTACTTTTGAT